GCGATTTAAATTCTGATTCACTAATGTAACGGTGTGAGAACGCACCATTCCCACCGACCATGCCCCAAAATCTAACTGTGGTGGTTCAAAACGTAAACTCTCATGTAAGACTAAAGTTAAATCACCGCTTCGATCGTTTTCACTGGTGGTCTGACTCTGTGCCGTTTTAAGGTGCTGTGTGTGCGTTTCATGTTTAAAATTATTACTCTCGGCCTCGTTGGCGAAACCGCACATGCTAGAGGCCACTAAGGATATCAATAATAACAACCATTGCCTATGGCAGAAATTCATTTTGTGTTTTTATGTTATTCGCAAAATTTTTACAAATTTTCGCTTTTTGTGTACTCTTCAGTAGAATTTTCACAAATTGCAATAGAAGCACTCTCGCTTTTATGTCCTTTAAAATTAATTATTTCGTGCTGATGCTGCTTGCTTGGTTTTCTTTCTCTCTGCTATGTTTATTCGCGTGTATTTCCGTTTTTGCATTTATATAAAAATTGTACAAGTCGGGGTTTTTTTTTACACAATATTGACAGAGTTTGTTTACTTAATTGTTTGTGTATGTAATTCCAGAACAATATAATTCTCCTGATATATTTTGCATAATGCTTTTTATTCAAACAAGCAAAAAAACCGAAATCTTTTTCTTCTTTTTTCTACAATAACTGGCTGCCTATATAAAAAAATATTTTTTTTTTCAGTTATTCTCTGTTGTCATTTGTTGAGTTGCATATATTAAAGGGCTGCCAGATTTCCTTTTAATAACCCATAAGAAACGTAATTTAGACTGTAGGTTAAATATATAAATATTAACAGCAATATACAGTTTTATACACGATTTTAAACGTTCGATGCTCTTCACATAATGTTCATAAAGTTACCATTATACGCTCCTGTTACCCGAATCGAAATCGAATTGAAATGTTGATAGAAGTACTACATATAAAAAAGTGTTAAATAGTTTAAGCGCGTGCTGTGTGAAAGAAAATCTTAGAAAGGGATAGACACTAAATGAATTGTCTAAAGATTTATACTCGTTGCTACGAACGCAATGTTTATTTATACAGTGTAGGAGCATATTTTCAAAATTTTGCTTTACTTGAAATTAGTACTTGTCTCATTCAGTTTGCAGTTCAGAAAAGCAAATAAGAGCAAACGATAAATGCTTTACACAATTACATGTAATGCAATTCTTCTTAGGAAAAGAAGTAAATCGTAAGTCGAAGAATAACACAGCTCTTCCTTCATTTTCGTAATGAAGTATCAAACACTGCACATTGTTCATGGACGCCATTACAATAAGAGGGTCTAATTTTTATTAAAACAGTTTCTCACCTAATTCCCTTTTTCGTAATATCAAGAGGTAGCTTTTTTTTTAAATCAGTTTAAAGTGTCAGTCACGAAAGCAAAATCAGGAGGAAGGTTGTGCGAATTTTGTAGACTTGGCGAACTTTATTCATGCAAGTTTGCCGAAAGCTGGCCAATAGTTTGCATTTTACAGGTTATGTAGCCATCGCATAAGTTTCGTATATTTTTCTAATAAGATAAATAATAAATGAAATTCTAAATAAATGCGGAGTAGAAAAGATATGAAAATCGAAATATCTAAAAGGTACTAGGTATCCTATTTAATTTTAAAAACTTGGAATGTCGTCTAACTTATGCTTTCAGTTATTTTCTGGCTGATGCTCCTTTACCGTTATTCCTTAATCGAATCCTATTCAAATCTTCGCAATTGAAATGCAGCGATGAAATTCTAACCATCGTATCCATCGTCACTCTATAAGTTTTTGAAGCGGCCAAAAGAGACTTCAGAACATCTCATAATGTACATACCGATTTCGTGGGCAACGGCAAAAATCGAAAATACTATGTAAGCTATCGTCATCTAATAAGGACCGTAAAATTGCGGGACCACTCGGCGATGTGGTCTGCTTAATAAGTATCATCTTCACCTGGCGCCCTGCCATGGGGATTTGGATAAAATAGCGCGATTAACCACTGCCAGATGCTTTAAGAATATTGCTTACTTTCATCGAAATACCTCAAAAACTACGATCTGTAGCTTGAATAAAAATTTACATCAGACGGGCAGACAGGCAGACATTATGAATCGGTCGGCATCATAAAACGTCTATCGCTAGTCATTCTGCGTGTAACATCCGTCGGCACATACTTAATATTCTCTGTAGTGGTGTAGAATACAAAAAGTAAAAGGCTTCACAATCTTTGGAACTGGAAAAGTTAGAATGGCGAGTATTCATAATTTTTTTACTTCTATCTAGAACGTTATCATCGATATTCGAATTCCTTATTTTCTGTTCTGAACTGTTTCGTCTTCCATAAATTTTATTCTTATATTGGATTTTTTTTTTTTTTTAGATTACCGACGGATCGCAAATTGCAGCAACATTTAAAAAATGATCGTGGTGCACAAAAACTATTTATATGTGATAAGTGCGTTCTAATTTTTAAAAATAGTTACAATTTAAAAAAACATAATGACATGGAGCATACTGAAAGGAAATTAACGCCGGAGCCGCAACAATGCACATGTGGTACATGGTATCATCATTTGGCTGGTTTGAAAACGCACATGAAAACCATCCATGAGAATACAAGCGATGAACATCGTTGTCATATATGCAGTAAAGTATCACCTACCGAGAGAGGTCTAAAGCATCATATATACTTGAATCATAAGTGTGTCAGCAAATTCAAATGTAGCGTGTGTTCGTAAGTTTTTAAGCGTGGCCAAGATTTAAGGGTTAGTTTTACTATCAAGTTAATTTTTTCTGTCTTTTCCTACAAGAGTTGTTTTCTTTTATAGGAACACATTTCAGTACGTACGGTTGAGGCGTTGTACACTTGCCCCAATTGTCCAATGACTTTTGCGCCCAGTGCCAGTATGTATAAACATCAGCGACGTTTACCAAAACTGAATATGAAGCAGATCGTCAACAAGCCATTCCTCCGCATATCATAAAATAACCAAAGACTGGTACAAGCAAAGTTCGTTCTTTTGGTGTATATAATGCTCTTGCAAATCCGCAGATAGTAATAAATTAGTTTTTACTACGACACTACATTGAAGTTATAGTATACAATAAATCCGGTGAGACTAAAACGAAGTTTCAAATTATATATTGCAGGCGTAAAAGGGAATTACTGAAAGATAAAGCGGGCGGTAAATACGAACGTAAAAGTTCAGCACCTATGCCAAATTTCTTTAGACTAAGTTTCTCGACTTCTTCTTCTTTGCCGACACAACATAATAACAGAAACTTAAAGGCAGGGGGCGGCAAAGGCAAGAAGTTACTTGGATCTCCCTTGCTACGTCGTATTATGTTCGGCCATCATCATGATGACAGTAATAAATTTGAAACCCTTTATTTAATTGTATGAAAAAACAGTAGGTTGTTTACATATAATAATGAAATAGCAAGATTTTGCTTGTATAATAAAAAAACGAGTATAATCACTTTTTTTTGCCATTTTTACCAAAAGATTTCAGATTAGTTCATCCTTTGTAGCACGCATTAAAATATTGTATACCATTTATTTATTGAAATGCTTTTGGGAATATGTGCCCGTAGCCTGCCGCCAATAGAGCAATAATAGAGCTCGTGATTGTGTTTACTTATCGTAGTATTCGGGGTCTTGTATTAAAGGCACGATAAAACTCTACGACGAATTCCGATTTACCTATTAACGTGAGAATAAGCATGAGCGTATATGTTTGCTTACTTTTTTCAATAATGCCTTTAGAGAAAATAGCGTATATGTTCTCAGTATTTTGAACATTTTGTTAACCTCTCCTGACTAGTTTTATTCAATTTTTAGAGACCTGACGTTCGATTTTCGCATATTTTTGAACATTCGACTAGTTTTGTAATAGCACAAAATAAGCAATTACTTACATCCTACACGAGTTTATCGGCGTTCGCGTTGCGGCTCGGATCTATACATAGATCATGATTCATCAATGTTCATTTTGACGCGAGCAAAGTATTTGACGGCAACCTCCCGGATATTTATGTAGAACGTTACTATCATTGAACCGGAGTGGCTAAGCGAGTTGGCTCTAGCTTAATACAAAAACAAATCAGAGAGTGCTGATTCAAAAGAATAGGTTTTTTTCATTTTTACAAACATTATGATGAATGCTATAGAAAACAGATGGGAACAAATAATTTTTACGACTTTACACTTATCGATTGCTACTTTAAAAAATTCATCAAATAAAAAATGCAAATATAACTAACTTCGGGCATTTTAGCAATCCTTCTTTATCTTTCTAAGCATTATATGATTTCGCTTCAATTCATAAAACTAAGGCCTAATAGCTTTATCGTTTTTTTTAATGAATACCTTTTTTCAATATATAAATTTATGATCCTTGAAAGGAAAGAAAAAGTTATGCTACTCTCGCCACAATTTACTTTTGGGAAATGCGAGACTTAAAGAAGACATGTTTTTTGTCAAGTTCCAGGACTACAAGTCACTGAAAACTTGTACAGAATCCAAAACAATATTATTACTGCGGCATTGCAGTCTTAACAAGTGATTAAATCTGAAGATAAAAACCAAAATTTTACAAAAAGTAATGAGAAATGTGAAGTAAAAACACCTTTTGGCTCTTTTCAACTCATCTTTAGCAGAACCAATCTAATAATTTTCACCTGATATTTGTGCTATTTTTAAGTCAAAGCGATTCTTTCCAAAAATATAATAACACTTGGGGACGGATAAGGAAATATTTGGCGTAGAAATCGTTATATACTTTCTATTCTTTGTTTTTGTTAATTCATAATTTTATTTCCAGTTGTCCACAAGAGATCTTTTTTTGCTATACAATTATATATTTCGGTCTCTGCATGTATATATGCTGAGACATATAATATATATAATTATTGGATTATACTCATGAGATTATTGAGATTTAACATACGTAAATATTTGAAAGTGTGAGCGAATTTGTGTGTAAAAGTCATTGGAACTTTGTGCACATACAACTAAATTAATTTATTTAATATATTTTCATATTTAATAACAACAATGTTCAAGGAAGAGAAATGATTTCAATGGTTTAAGAAGGACTAAGTAAGGGTGCATGTGTTTCATTACTTTTTATTAACAATTTCTAACCATTAAATTCTCACACAAATCTTACAAAAAAAAAAAAAAAAAAAAACAACCGTGTTTGCTAGGTGCGGGGATAGCGAACATTTAATTACGTTCGATGGAAAAAAAGAAGAAAAACTAAACAGAAAAGAAAAAATCATACAGCAAGAAACTAAAGGATGAAGATGAAATGTACAAAACTTAAATGCATTTGTAACTCAGTTAATATAAATAAGTCCACTTGAAAATTAATATTTAAAACCACTTTTCGGAGGTATGATCATTAAAGTCGTTTTAAATACGAAGCGTTTCATAATTGTGACACAAATGAGATAAAGTGAATTAGTAACATAAAATTTAATATAAGCCCAGTGTATCATATGAAATGATGGAAGTTAGTTAAATTGCTCCGGCATAACATAGGAAATATCATCCCAAGGATGACGATAGAGTCCCTGTTTCAAACGTTTCTGATCCATGTAATGACCGATAAAACCTATGCTGCGTCCCAATACAAAGAGTGAGTTAATCGCGCCAATGTTAATGTATTCCTGAGCCTCTTCGCTGCAAAGATTTAAAAAAAAAAAAATTAAATCAAAATATTGAATAACTTAAACATAATATTTACCTAGTAAATGAACCACAATTTCGAAGCATATCGACGAAGGAGGTCGCTATAACACCATCTACATTCAGTATTAAGTTTGGCTTTTTACTGGTGGTGATCTTTTCCACTTCGAGAGCGTATCTTAGCAGGGGACATGCGGGGAAATTGTCCATAACGAATTCTTTAATAATTTTGACGCGTACGTCTGGATTGTTGATGGATTTCACGCGATGACCAATGCCCATAATTAATTGACCCTTCTTACGCATTTGATTAACAAAGTCCATTGGATGCAAACTGGTGTCGTAAGCTTCTGAAAATTGACGTGCTGCCCCATCCAAGGCACCACCAAAACGATCACCCTGAAGGGGAGAATTCATTACGCTTTTACACATTTTCAAAGCTTTCCAGCAAAAAACTAACTTACAATAGTCAATAGACCGCTAACTACTGATGACACTAAATCTTTGCCGGCACGAGCGCAAACAATTGTGTTATGTGCTCCCGACACGGCTGGTCCATGATCAGCGGTCACCATTAAACACATTTCAAAGAATTTACAAACGTATGGTGGTAAACAACGCTGGAACCATAGCAAAGATATGACGCCCCCGATTCCCACATCTTTGTTTAGTACTTCGCTGATAGGCATACCAGCGTACAACAATTCCTGGCCACGTTCATCACATATGGAAGTCATGAATGATGCCGGTTTCCGGATTAGTCCTAATTCGCGAGCCCATGAGTAATCCATAGGAACAGTAGGTGGTGGCACTTCCTCACGCGGAATTATACGTCCCGTTTTCACCAATTCGGCATACACATGCTGTATCAACTCACCGAGGGTATCAAAAGAATCCGGTACATAAGCGCCAGCGTCTCTTAAGGCCTTATTTTTAGCAGTTGCGGTTTCGCGATCGCTGTTAGCACATGAACCGGCGTGACCAAACTGAACTTCAGATGTGAACATGCCAGCACAAGTGCCAATGCACCAGGCTACTAAAGGCTTAGTAATGCGTCCATCTTTTAAAGCAGCGCAGACATCATATTCCTCAGTGCCACCTACCTCTCCCAGCAGAACGATAAGTTTAGCCTCCGGATCCGCCTGATAGCGCATAATGTGATCCATGAAAGTAGTGCCTGGATAACGATCGCCACCAATAGCTATGCCCTCCAAAACACCATCCGTGGCTTTCGAGACAATATTATTAAGTTCATTGGACATACCACCCGAACGGGAGACATAAGCTACACTGCCTGGCCGGTATAGTTTGGAATGTAAGATATTATCTAACATACCACCGGTATTACCGATCTTAAAACAACCCGGTTTAACACCGCCTACAGTGGCAGGGCCAATAATAGCTACCCCTTTCTTATTGGCCGCCACAATCATTTTACGTGTCATGTTTTCGGGTATACCTTCAGCTATAATGGCCACTGTACGAATTTGAGGAAAATCTAGTACTTCCATGGTGGATTCGTAAGCTGAACGAAGGGAAGCGAAATTTACCATTACGTCCACTTCTTTATGTCTGGTAACGGCATCGGACATATTCTTGTAGACCGGTATTAATATTTCCTTATGACCCCAGTAGAATTTTTGTTTATGATCGCCGGTGAAAGGGTATACCATAGCTACCACAGAAGGTTCGTCGCGTCTAATATAAGGAATAAAAAAAAAGCAAAAACGCCATAAAATATGACTGCGCTCAACGCATCTTAATACAATAGGCCTGACGTTTGCGCTATCAACCAATTTATCGTATGGGTTTCGGGCTAAATATTACCTTACATTTTCTGTTCGTCATACAGGAAATGTAGAAGGCTGTTTTTAATTATATTTCTTTGCAACCTGATTGAAATATGAATTTCAGAAACCCATGCAAGCTGAATCATTATATGTGGCTTCTTTCTGCTTCATTACGATGAGATCAACACAGATATTTGATGCAATAATAATGTGGACCAAAGCTTACACCTCTTATCAGAAAAAAAAAAAAAAATCTTGCAAAATGTTAAAAAGGAAGGACCTATATGCTAGTAGAGCACTGTTCATGTACATCGATGAAATTTTCCAAGGTAACCTTAGAAATCAAATATTTAACATTTTACGACTAAACGAAAGCTTACTCTTCCTTGATAATAATAAAATTTCTTTAAAAATAGGAATCGAGAACAAACAAGTGATAGTTTTAAAAAACTGAAAAAGTAGGATTAATGGAGTTAAGAAGTGAAAACGTGCGCATAAAATTAATATCAAAGAATGTATGATATGTAGATAATAGGCGAAAAAATTGTTCCGTTTTCGATCGAGGTAAATTGAAAGCTATTTCATTACTATTGCGTTTACTTACCTGCAAATAAAGTCAAAGTCCAACATGGATTGTACAGCTCTTTGTTGCATACCCCAGACAATGGCTTTGGTTTTATTGGTGAAAAATTTACGCGTGCCAGTAGCCACATTATCGTGGACATCATTCGATTTTATGTTATCTGCTAAGATAGGCGGTAATTTAATCGATTGTTGTTGTTGCTGTACTTGTGATGATGAATCTAAACCTTTGCTTGCTTGTGCTTCTATGTAGTAGTAGGAGTGATACCATCGTGACATATAGGCGCATATGATTATAAAATTTATTTGTAGACACAGTGTTTTTGTTTTTCAGAATGAGTTCAGACGAGCACAGAGGACATTCACGTGGACATTAAGTGATAAAAAAATGGTAGGTTTTGGGAGACAACGACAATCATTCAAAAGTACATACGAGCACAGTGTCACAATAACATTATAACATGTACAGAATGGAGAGAGAGAGAGAGAGACAAAGAACATAAAAAATAAGGAAAAGACGCTGTAAGAGAGGTGTGTGGAATGTGGGATAATTTTACTAATAACGAGGAAATGTAAGAATGGAAAGGAGATAGGGAAGGAAAAAACGAAAGGATTGCAAAATTTAAATAGTAACAAACAACAAAGTTAAATTCATGTTTGTCTTGAATGTAAGTAAATGAAATTATGTTGAAAATCAAAAACTACATCGAGGTAAATGTGTTTTCATAAGGATTAAGTTAAACAAAAAAAACTCACCGTTACCATTGCTACAATCACCCACCAATGTTCGCAATTCAGGCTGAGCATTTTGTCCTCCAGGCAATAAGAAATTGGCAGTGGAGAATTCAGCATTAAGAGCTTGAGGTATAGGTCGCTTACCCAAAGCCATGCCACAAATCGCTGTCATGTGAGTCTCAGGGCCAAACACATGCAATGGTATACCAAGAGTACTACCAAATTCACGCATCTTGCGCAAACCCTCTTGATAGTTAGGTCCAGCCCGTCGTACAAATATGGATACATTGTGCTCCATCAATTTCGGCTGAAACTCTCTTAGAGCGGTGACGATGCCACGAAACGTGGCTGCCACATTTGTAAAATTTGCAATACCTCCGCCAGTTATTAAAACTTTACCGTCGGGATGTTTAGGGGACGAAGTCATCAAATTAAGGATAGTACGGGCGTACTCATAGGTTTGCTGCTCAGATGGTGCCCCACTGTATTCACCATAATTGGCCAATTCATTCGCTCCACCCAAATCGCAAATAGTATCTGAGTAAATTACGCTAGCTCCACCACCAGCTACCATTGTCCAAATCCTGCCGTTGCGATTCAGTATAGTTAACTTAAGCGAGGCTCCACTTTTCGCATCTAAATCAGCTATGTAGGCTTCTTCAGGATAAGCGTCACGTCCGAAGGGTGGTGGATAATCGATATCGCCCCATTTAGGACGACAAATAAAATCTGCCGTTGAATCCAATTTCGCCGCTAAATCCAATACATATATATTATCATCGGTTACAACCAAAGGATTAATTTCCAAGTATGTAAAGTACAGATCAACAAACGCCTTGTATAGCGCGTAAATAAATTTGGCCACCCGTTCTTTTTTCTGAACAGGAACTTGAGACAAAAGCTTATTATCAATATCCGCCATTGTAACATCGCTGTTAACCGGTATATCAAGTTTTAAGGCTTTAGCATCAACATCCCCAATATCAACGCCACCTTGATGATAAAACAGTATAGTATCGGCCGAACGATGTGAGTAGATGCAAACATACATTTCTTCAGCCTAATCAAATAGACGTTAAAAAGCGTTGGCGCATTATATTAATAATTTTTGAAAACTTACATCTGTGTGTGGCACAAATGGTTCTATAATGAAATTCCTTAATTTGCCTACGGCCTGCCCAATTTTCTGATCTTTGTTCATACGTGCATTTATCCATTCTTTTACTTCGGCCAGTTTCTTATTCACGCCAATCAAACCCAATTTGCCGCGTCTCTTAATCAATTGATCAGGTTTTACAACTAAAGACTAAAAATAAAAAGTTTTGATTAATAATTACAAAATATTCTTCTTAGTTGAGTTGAAGGGTTATTGAGAAAATAGTACAAACTAATTTATCCAAAGTAGCGTCCTTCGTCAGTACTACTAACGTTTGGTAGACGGGGTGATCGTGATGATAGACAATTCTACCATACTATGATCGTTCCATCTTTAACGCTCCATGGAATTGAATTAGTTTTTGATGGTATCGTTTCTTAGTGATGAAATAATAGGGTTTAGAAAATTGTATTCTCACCAAATTGAACATCAAAGGAAATTCACTTTACGAGTGCCATGGGAGAGTGAAGTTGCTATTAAACCATGTGCAAATAGAATGAGGTTAACGGAAAACAAGTACCACTGTTACATCCATCTTAGAATGTGCCTTTTATATCCACCGCTTCGAAACAATTGTCAGAAGTTATTAAGTACTTCTCAACTGCTCGCGTATCAGAATTGGTTGATCAGAATATTTTCTACAATAACTGCTTAGATATATTAGGTCTTAAATCAATGTGATACTCCTTAATGTTCGTAAATAACTTCTTTTTTGATTTATCGTTGGCATGGTTGTGGATGAATTAAAAAGTAAAAATTACGGAAAGAAAGCTATTTTTATACCTACCATCGAAAGGGCAGAGGCATATTCTATTTTTCAAAACACTTCCAACATTCAGAAGGAAGCTTCAGAGACTCCGTAAACTATATATAAAATTTTGTATCGATTTGATTATGTCTATCTGTCCGCCGGGACAACGTATTTGGTAAACAATCCACTGATCTCAAAAACGGAACTATCGGCGTAATATTTACCAGAATTTTACACATCAAGTCGATTAGAGGACACGGCGACCGTAATCTGAGACCACTATTCTTTTGAAAATCAAAAGAAAAATTAGGTATTTTGCTCGCTTCTTACAAACAAAAGCAGATACAAAGATAAAAATTTACACGCCCAGTCCATGGATAATCCTACCGGTACAAAAATGAAAAAGAATCAGGCATGTCAACTCACCACCATAGAATATCGAAATTTTATATTCCCTTTTTTTTTAGCAGTGGTAGATATAGAAATTTCGGCTATAGCCGAACCTCATATTCTTACTTGTTTATGTCCGGTGGAAGGGGGCGAAACATTGCTCGAAGAAACTGAAAGCTGCATTCGAGACTGTATTCAATACTATGGACGCTTACGTTGAGTAACCGCGAAAGCGTTTGCATTTGATTTGTGTTTCTGTTACATTAAGGTCTTGTTATGAGAGGTTTATGAATAACTTTAGATTTTGGGATAATTAACACAACGCATACAAAAAAAAATCAATTTTTATTTCCAAGCTAAGTGACATAGCAGACCATAATATTCCAGCAAATTAATTATAGTATTGAAAAATTAAAAACAACTGGGTTTATTTTGTTGTGAGATAACGCTGATAATGATAAGAAAATACTAATACCCAGTGATGGAATCTCAAATCGCGTCGCTTTGGTTTAATTTTTTCAATATCAATATCAATTTGTGAGGAGAGGGTAACTTTTTTTTTGTGTTAACTATATACCTCCATCATTTGCTAATGTTATAAAAGAAATCGCATTCAATATTAAAAATGATTTTATCAATAATTGGACACCGGTCCCGGTATTTTTTCTTTATTACTACTCTTTGCTATTGTTTGCAATTGTGTGTATGGACCGCGTAGTCACTAGTTAAACTCTGTTGTGTTTGTGTAAAAAAGTACTTTCACTAAACAACGTGCGCCTATACATATTTATATGTATTCATAAAAATAATAAAATTTTCGTTTAAGTAAAGCACGCGTCAGCTTTAGCGATAATAAGCAACAAGTTAATGAATTATTGTCATGCAAATGCTTCCCATTGTATACCGTACACTAAATACCAATATTTATATTCTATGTAAGGGGTTCACTCTTCAATCTTCATATAAAGAAGAATTCAAATAGAATAGATCTATGTAGTCTTAACTTCCCACAGAAAAATTACCGTTTATCTTCACTATTAATTTTAACAATAAAATGCTAGAAGTTAAAAGTTATATTTTTTTATAGAAACGTGAACGGAATATAGGGATGGTGTTTGCAAATTGGTTCAATACTACCCAAATTTTTCACATCGCATTTACGAGCTCAAAATACTATTTTTCATTGATTTTTGTCGGGAAATATTAAAATTCGCACATATTTTTCATAGGACGACTTCTTTAAAATTGGGGAATAGTCGTCAAAATGTTTCGAGCCAGGCCATTTTCGGCAACGTTTGCCCTCAAGTTTCTCAAAATTTGATTATATCCAGAATTACATCTGACCTGAGTTGAACACAAAAATATATGGACAGAAAGGCAGATATGCTTAAGCCCTAACGGGATAAATTTATCTCGGAATTTCTGGTTTGCTGCATGTGTATCCATACAAACTTATATACCCTTACCACAAGAGGTCTTGGATATAAAAACATTATTTTAGCAGTACATATTCCTTCAATTTTGAGGAAAGCTTCGAACGTAGTGTTACTAAAACCGTTTTTGTTTTTAAATTTCGAATATTAATCTTTTTTTCTGTAGGACCCGATGTAAAATTGTGAATTATAAAACAAATTTGTCCAATTACAATTATTATTAACTTTTCAGCCAGAGAAATAAACTCCAATGATAAAGGACTGGCATCTCTAAGGCTTTATCGAAAACTCGGCTTTATCGGCTTTTGGACTACGACTATTGGGTTGTTACTTGAGTCCCTTTGCGTAGTCAGTCCCTCAGGCGGATCCAAACTTTTTTAGTAATCATTGCGATCTCTAATATGCAAACCCAGTTAGTCAGTGGCAACTTAAATTCCCTATAACTTTTATTACATTTATAATTTATAATAATTTATATATGCGACCATTGTGCAATGCGCACTAAATTTAAAAGCCTGATGAACCTCTTATCAGTTTCCTTTAAAGAGTTTGCAAATGCGTAAATGTAAACATGCTTTTCCCATTTAACAACAAATTGACTTTTGGCGGCCTGGCAAATTCGCTGATATTTTTCTGCCCAAATCAAATTGAAAGCTTTGCTTTTTTCGTATTGCTCTTTTCCACGAAACCAAGAAGACGTGAAATGAAGAAATCAAATAGACACTTTATACCTTATCTTATACAGGGCTAGTTTGTGTTGCTAATATATTTGGAAACCCAAGATTATTATAATTATCAACTCCTTGACATTCTTCAATTAGCTATCCAAGTAAAAATTTATTTTTATTACGTCCTTCTTCACAGAACCATCGATCATCGTAGACGTCATGGATATTTTGGAATCAGCTGTCGCTTATCAATCAAGACCCCTATGCAGGCGTCATATACGTTTGCAAAAGCAAAATTATAGCGAACGGAGGCCATTTGTAGATAAATTTTTCCAGAGATTTGTACTTAGGCTTAAGATAAATTTGCATATAACTATTGAACGTTACAGAAGATTTTCCTTTTCTAAAAATTATTGGTCTCTAAGGTCTATTGACGTCCCGCAATCTGCCTAAACGAACGCGTTTTGAATTAAAAAATTCTAATTACATTTGTATTAATAATTTTACGTCATTTTTATGAAATATGCCCGATCAGCACTTGGATGTAGAGATAATAGAAAATAAATTCAAGGGCATTTTTTGCGAATTTTTTAGACACTTTCTTGCGCAAGATTCATTAGAAGAATTACAATTTTTAAGTAAGTCAACTTAGCGAAGTAACTATTTAAGTTATAGCATAGTAATTAGCATTAATAAATTCTCTTCTATTTGTATTCAATGTCAGGATTGGGGAAAAACCATCTTATACTTACCGTATTTGAAAGCCACTGTTGTTGTGCAACTAAATCTGACCAATCAGTCTGCATGTTGACTGTAGCAAATCGGCACGGTGTAAATATGGCGCCATGATGATTTAAATGACGATTTAATATATCCTTACCGGTAGCTTCACGAATCGCTTTTGCTGACATATTTTTCTTAAACTTTGTTTTATTTATTTCTGTTTATGTAAATGATATATTGTATTGTTGGATTTTTGTTTATATGTATAATATATGCATTCAATAAATATTCCCCAAACGATTTTCTGCAAAAAGCACGAAATAAGGAAATAAATGAATTAAAATTGAAAAAATTAATAATAATAATACTAATTAATAAAGAAAATAAAAGAGAAAGTCACACGAATTACAAGGCAGGTGAGAATAAAGGTTGGATAGTTTTTGATTTTTTTTTTTATGTAAAATTACGTCAACCAAAGTTACTGTTACTGTTGTTTCAGTAGCTTAGAACACAAGTGTTCGAAGTAATACAGGCTTAGATTATTTAGTTATTTCCTTTACCGTTAGCCGATTTCACGTCTTAAAGGAAACTAAAATGCAAATCAAATATAATAAAAAGTTTCAAAGTTCAAAACGCCAAAAAAAATGGAAAAAATATTAAAACGCGCGTGAAAGTTGTTTCCCGGCAAACACCTTGATCCACAACTTAGACGAGTTGAAAACAAACTAAATGAATTGTGTTCATGTGAGACTATTAAAAAAACAAAAAAGCTAGAGATCAGAGAGATAGCACGCTTTCTCTCTTTACATTTTGATAGCAAAAATGATACGACTATGTACGCGACACTCTCTTTCACGTGGGCACATAAAACGTTTTTTTTTATTGTACTCTGAGAGAGTTTTACGCAATAAAAAAAACAGATATTGTAGTTATTATACATTGTCTGCACTTCATAATGCTTCGAAACCTCGAAAAATTATATGAAAAGGAAATTAATTGAAGGAAAAAGATTTTAAGATAACTTCCCTTGATTCCTTTTATTTTTAATAGAAATTCCGCAAAATTTCCTTTATCTTTGATAACTTTTAATAATTTGACGTTTTTAAGTTGAGCTTTTCTCGTAATGCATTGATAGTACCACGACATTTACGGCCAGTTGTAACACTTTGTGGAAACCACATATTGTTCAAATTCAAATTCGTGCCAAAAGAAATCAGCACTCATGTTTCTGTAGAATTCTCTACTGCGGGAAACTACAGTGTCATTTTCATGTCCAAGGATGATATTTTCGGCCCACAATCCAGATCTAAAAGTTAATATTCGTGCACATGTGTCTTTTAGGAACGGTAGGTGTATTTTCTTTCCACTACAGGGTCAACATTCCTTATTTGCGAAACCATTTATCCAAATATGAGCTTCATTCTACTTGCACGAAACTTAATCATAGGCTCATTGCATACGTAATAACCTTCCACTCTGCCCAACTAGGTATGCATTGTAACTATTCTGCTAATAACAGCAAGGTCCAAACAAAATAAACTGAAAGAAAATTCTATCCGAACGTGAAGAGAAGTGTATTTTACTTACATTTACTTTCGGAACCACAAAATGGATGCCCGTATAAAATTTCGATATTTTTCAAGTTTTTAGGAAATAAGGAAAATGAAATAAGGAAAAATGTTTTTATTATTAAGAAATATTAGTTTGGGGAAAAAGAAATCCATTATTTTTTCGGTAGATTTCATGTTTATGCTCGTTGGAAAGGTGACATTTCGCAGTAAAAAAATTCTTTTGCTGCTTTTTGTTTGGTGCATTCAGTTGTGAGTTACAGCGTGCTAAAAATGGAAGTGAACAAAGAGAAAATCCGGTACATTTTACAGTTTTTCTTTGACAAAGTCGAAAATGCAAGCCAGGCGGGTAAAATTGTGAATGGTGTTTATGGTTCCGATACTGTAACAGCCAATTATGTGCAATTTTGGTTTCGTAGATTCCGTTCAGGAATTTTTGACGTTAAAGATGCACCTCGCACAGGTAGGCCGGTCGTCGAAAATGTCGATAAAATCGGAGAAATGATCGAAGTTGACCGGCATGTTAGCAGTCGTAACATCGCCCAGGAGCTAAAAATCGACCATAAAACAATTGTAAACTATTTACACAAAGCTGGATTCAAAAAGAAGCTCGATGTTTGGGTGCCACACCAATTAACAGAAAAAAACATGATGGATCGAATTTCCATCTGCGAAGCCTTGGCCAAACGGAATGAGATAGACCCATTTCTTAAACGGATGGTGACTGGAGATGAGAAATGGATCACATACGATAACCCTGTGCGAAAACGATCGCGGTCAAAGAGCGGTGAAGCACCTCAAACGGCCAGGAAGGTTTTGCTATGGATTTGGTGGGACTGGAAGGGGATTATTTATTATGAGTTGCTTCCATTTGGCCAAACGCTAAATTCTGATCTCTACTGTCAACAACTGGACCGTTTGAAGATAGCGATTGACCAGAAACGGCCAGAATTGGTCAACAGGAGAGGTGTCGTGTTCCACCAGGACAACGCTAGGCCACACACATCCACAATGACTCGCCAGAAACTTCGGGAGCTTGGTTGGGAAGTTTTAATGCTTCCGCCATACAGTCCGGACTTGGCACCAAGCGATTATCATCTTTTTCTTGCATTGCAAAATTTCTTTAATGTTAAAAAATTGGAATCTAGGGAGGATTGTGAAAATCGACTACTAGAGTTTTTTGCAAATAGAGACCAGGACTTCTGTGAGAGAGGCATTTTGAAGTTACCTTTAAAATAGCAACAAATCGTACAACAAAACGGTGCATATTTGACCCAAATCGGACAATCCGAAGCATGTTAAATAAAGTCCTGAAGTTCATATAAAAATAATGGATTTCTTTTTCCCCAAACTAATATATACTACTGCTGTCTATCTTCGACAAATCATCAGTAAAAACTATTTACAGCAAATGTGTGAATATCACGCTAACGCGCGGTGGTTTAAGAAATAACCTTTGCTTGATTGCGATAGTTTCCAGGCATATTAAAAAGACCATATACAAACTCTTGGTTCTTCTTCGATATTATTTCATTTTTTCGATTATTATATAGAGAACTTTCGCTTTGTGGAACTGGATCAAGAAAACATAAGACCAAGAAAACTTTTTTTAACCTGTGATCTTAAGAAATCTAACATGTGGCTAGACGAGATTATAAAACGTCACTCAATAATTCCAGAAACTAATTCATTGACGTTTTTTCTAATAGAACAAAAATCTTGTCTTTAGAAATTACCGGCTTTGAAAGCCATTTTTTCTTTATTTATTTTAACCCTTCTTTTTGATGCGGAAAGGTGCCGGGCAAATTCACGACCAGCTTGAAATATATTACGGCACCTATTTTTTCTGGAAAACAAAAATTCATCAGTAATTCGGTGATTTTAAACCAGGTTCTATGAGGGGAGGGAAAATATCGTTATATGGTAAAACATAACAAAACTGCTAAAAATTATTGTCGATAATCAAAAGTGGTAGCAAAGATTCGAAAGATATCGAAAGATATCTTCATTATTTCATTATTTTGCATGAAAATCCGAGCGCGAGAAAACTTTTGTCAAAAAAAAATTTTTGTCAGCATCGTCACTTATAGTGCAGCATCAACGAGTTACTCGTTCATTGTGTTGCCAACATTGTATGAATGGAAAATGGATTTCCTGCCAAATCGATAGTTTTCTCTTCATCTGGCGCCCAGCGACTATCAGTTGTTTGCAAATGTTAAAACGACGCGTCACATGGTGGTATTTTAACGTATTTGTCTTGAAAAGTTACACAAAGTAGAATTGTGTTATACTGGAGACTATGGCAGGTTATGTTAATAAATAACTTTGAATTTTGTACAAAAAATGTTTTTTTTAATTTAGTTTTTTTATTATTTATCAGTATATTGACCTCGTCCGATATACTACATGTGAGGAATCGTAGGGCTGGTATTTCTGATTTTCAGGTAGGGCGCATATTTCTATTATCCGATAGAAGCGGCTCGGTTGCTATTTGCAAATAATCTCTTTTGTTCGGTTAGCATAGCTGGTACATTATCGTTGTATTGTCGTATGACACTTTAAAGAGAATTATAATCTATTGAGAACGTTACTCTTATAATATACAGCACCACGTAAACTGAGAACACATCTGTTTTTCAAAAGGAACGGAGGATTGATTTTTTGCTCATTAGCCATAAACTACAGCAGATAAATCTACAGAAATTTAAAGGCATGGTCTGGGTGATGCCTGTACAAAAGTGGCAAAAATTGACTACGCACACGAAAGTTGACAGTGTGTCATAATTTCACATTTTTCCGATACCTTTATAAAGCGCGGAAGTAAGCAAGTGTATAAGTTCTTGGCCAATTTCAAATCCGGAATGCACCGAAACGTGTCTGTCCGTTCTTCTAGCGATATGTGCCCTGCGCAACCGCATAGTATGTGTGGTGAACATTCTCCCGATCTCAAAAGTGAAAATGTCACTTATAAACTTGCAAAAGAATTTGAAAATGACCCAAAGTTTTCAAAGAACACGCCTACAATACCCGCACGCCTATGTAATAAAAACAGTGAACACCTTTGCTTTCCCTTTCTATTTTGCTTGTTGCACATAAACTACAACAGATACATGTATATAAATTTCCACAAATAGGATAACGTTAACGGGTATAAAAAAATCGGTCATAACCGAATATAATTTTCTTGCTTGTTCTCTTTCTGTGCATTTCTGCACAGTTTGTTGTTAAGAACGTCGACAAGAAATGAGAACGTGCGAAACTCAATTATTAAAAAGTTAATCTTTTTAAAATCTCGTTATTCGCTATGTTTGTGTGTGTTTACTTTTCATTATCAATAATTTTTAAGGTCATTTTGAGAGATATGCGGCTCTCAGAACTGCAGCTTGCAATATACTGCAACTATTGATGAAACGAAATTCATCGGGTGATGTTTTTTATGCCTCGTTGGCAACAGTATTGAAAAAATTTAAATATAAATTGTATGTATTTTACAAATTGTGCATACATACCCGCAAACATACAATTTCCGTTTGAAAGGGGGTTGGGATTTCGTCGGAAAAGATATACAAATATAGGAAAGTGGGCATGTCAAAATCAACATCGGAGGATATTTACCTTTTTATGCAGAATTTTTGAGTTTGAAATCATAAAGTAGTCAAATTGACAAATACGGTAAGTCTAGTGTTAAGCAATAGTTAATTATTAAATTTAATTCGCTATTAATTAGGATTAAAGTATACTTGTTGTACTAATACGACTGTAGGGACTTTTTCACACACACACATACACAAATAACTAAAAAGATGTGCATAATGTCGTCTTCGCACGATTTTCCAACTTACAATATTCTACTTTATCTAACTAAAATGAATGACGTAAAGAATGTAACAAACACCTTTAATAATCAATTTAATTAGTTAATGCAAGCTTATCCTGATTAGATTCTTTAACATAGTATAAACAATTTTTTGATGCAAAATAGCATGTACGTAAATGACACCGCCAAAAGTAAATGACACCGCCGAAAGTACATCTCACCGCCGAAAGTAAAATTTTGTCCGTATTAAAAAATTAACAAAATTAAAACAAAATGCTTTTATTTGACGAAAATACTAAGTATTTTTGCACAATATTCTCGCAAATATTTAGAAATTTTCTTTAAGGTACAGATAATAGACATGACGTAATTAATAATGCAAATTATTATTATTGTTAATGGCATAGTTCTTTGCGTTAATAAAAAAAATTTGCTATCTATATATAGTGTACTGGTGGCCCGATTTTTCAGGTCATAAATTACAATACGAATTAGTAAATTTTAAAATATAAATCATGACGATGTGCAAAGAATAATATTTTTTGAAGTTTGTAATAAAAATCAATTACACGAGCAGGTTGTTTGTCTTTTCTTTTTTTTTTTGCTGTTTACTTATTCTCTTTATTCCTTCTTTTTCATTAACACAAACTCATGCACAATAAGAACATCTTATTCTTTCCCTGGTAAGAATTTTTTGCAAAAGTTTTATTATAATTAATAATATAACTTTGCGTTTAAATAGCTTGCCATTTAAACTTCCCAAACGTTACATACGCAGGAGTAGTTCAAATATCAATTTGTACATTTATGGAGAGCGCCAGAAAAAACCAATTTTCAATACTTAAAGCAAAATATTCATGATATTTTCTTGCGGCATTACGTTCAGATTCAAACTTTTTTTATAAAAATCATTTAAACGTCAATATTACAAATTCTACTTTCCCGGCAACCTTAATAACTTAATTATTATCTTAAGAACGGTTTAAATTCTTTCCAATCTTTTAGTTTTTTTTAAAAAAACTTAACAACGAAAGTCAAATTAAATAAAATCAGTCGGTAAAAATTTCTCCCATTACATATATGCTCTCTCAGCAGATTAAATGTGGGCTTTACAACATATTCAGAAATAACATAGAAGCTTTTTAATGAACTTGGAAAATCATTTTATAAAGAAATAAATCTTTGTTTGCGTGTAAATTTTTTTTCTTAATTTTTATCTAGATTCGAGTTTCGAAAACATTACTTATGGTCTGTTATTCTTTAAGCTTACTGATGGCCCGATTTTTAATGGATTATATCTAAGGTCGGGCATAAATTACAATAATTAATAAATTTTTGTTATAGGTATCTAATCAATATAAATCATATGCAAAGATCAGTATTTTTCTTACGTTTGTAATAAAAATCAATTACACGAGCCCGGTGTTATGTCTTTTCGTTTTTTGACTGTTTATTTATTTTCTTTACACCTCATTTAGACACACTCGTGCACAATAAGAACACTTTTAGGGTAAGATTTTTTCGTAAAAGTTTTGTTACGATTATTAAGATAACTTTAGCTTTAAATTTATATAATAATTATAATTAAAATGTGTACGAAATTTTTTATGATTATTATTAACAGAATTGCAAACACAGTCGTTTTATTAAAAAACAATGAAATGCATATGTCAACTGCAATGCTACCAGACCCTTATAAACTTTTCATATTGTAAAAATTCTGACATATTGAAAAATCAGCGCCATCTAAAGCATTGGCTTTCTTAGCAGATATATACTCTCTCGTTTTCTCAAAAATAGTAGGAAAAAAGAATACTTATAGCCATTATATCTAAAATAGTTCCAAAATGTAGTTTGATTTATGTATTTTGTGAATATTAAAATCTCTCTCGATTATTGTCAGTGAATTTCACTACCAGAAATAGAATTTTATTATTCTTAGCAAATTCAAAAGAAAAAATAAAACAAAAACGTTGCAAATAATTTTTTTAAATTAAAATTTTTGCTTTTTTTTTATAAAATTGAAAAATGAAAACATATTTTTTCATACTATATATCGGTTTTTCATCTTTCGAAAACTAAATCGGATTTTCATTATTTCCATTATTCGGAAACTGAATCAGATTTTAACTTTTTCCATCTTTCGGAAACTGAATTGGATTATGGGATATATTTATTTTATGATGGGATCCTGTTATAAATGTCTAGATGGAATATTGGGACGGCTGTGGCTAACACGGTATTACGATCGATATATTTTATATATTCTTGTAAAAAGTTCTTATTGCAAATATAATAGCCTTTTTTATAATTTGAAGCATTTAATATGGTTAGCCAATTTTACAATTTCTTTACAACGATTTTAAATACACGTGTTTAATATATATAATATTAAAAATATAAGAATAATAAATTGGTAAAGTTTTTAATAGTGACATAATACAAAATAATTATGCAAATTTTTAAAAACAAAGAAAAAAAGATTTTAATTTTCACTCTTATTTTTTCCGAAATAAATAATAAAATTTTTTTGAAAAATTGAATGCTTCAATCACGGTTATTGGAAAATAAAAAAAATGTGCTTAAATGTTATGTTTAAAAATCACATGTTTCAGATGTTTTACTCTTTTGGTATTCAACAAATCAACGACAAAGATTTTTTTGCCGTCTCTGTGTTTTATATTAAATAAAAAGTGTTGGTCGGACCACGAGTGGCAAGTTTACATACAAAATTTCACTAATTTTACACTAATTGTTACTGGCGGTTATGATCAAAATGCTCAAAATGACTTCCATGTATGCGGACTTACCGGAAGAACATCCACGAAATTTAATACCAGCTTTGTGTCAGCAATTTTACTACTTAGGCTGGGTAACTGGGACTGGTGGAGGAATTTCGATCAAGTACCGTGGAGAAATTTTTATCGCACCTAGTGGGGTGCAAAAGGAGCGCATAATGCCTGAGGATCTTTTTGTGCAAAATATTAAAGGCGAGGACATACAATTACCTCCTGAATATAAAAATCTCACAAAAAGCCAATGTACTCCGCTATTTATGTTGTGTTATCAACATCGCAATGCTGGCGCGGTCATTCATACACATTCCCAAAATGCAGTAATGGCTACTTTACTATGGCCTGGCTTAGAATTTCGTTGTACTCACTTAGAGATGATCAAGGGAATTTACGACGAAGATTTGAAACGTAACTTGCTTTATAATGAAAAATTAGTTGTGCCAATTATAGAAAATACGCCTTTTGAAAAAGATTTGAGTGATTCTATGTATGAGACTATGATGAAATATCCGCGCTGTAGCGCGATCCTGGTACGACGCCACGGCATTTATGTATGGGGTTCAACGTGGGAAAAAGCCAAAACAATGCAAGTCCATTGGTAATATTAAACGAATTAATGAAAATTCAACTTCGGTATTTACAGGGCGGAATGTTATGATTATTTATTTTCGTTGGCTGTGGAAATGAAAAAATCCGGTTTGGATCCAGAGGAATGTTTTTAAAAAAAATGAATTCAAAATTTTTGTATGTACGATCTTGCCATTAGTACATTTTTCGGATTTTATTTCAATTTTCTTCGACTTTACATATAACAGAAAAATGGCATACAAAATCGTTCCTTTATACCAAAACAAAAACTTCATCTTCTAAATGAGTCTTTTTGTGTTAACTTTGCGTTAAGCGAAAGCGTACAATAATATTAATGATAATTATTGTTGTGTGCAAAAATAAATTAAACTAATTTTAAAATTTTCTGAGCTCTCATCTCATGCTACGCCGCATTTTGCGCTCCATCTTACGTTGTTTCTTTTCATCCATTTCTAGTTCCTCGCTGATATTACGTTGCGAAAGCCAAGGTTTTATGAAACTACCCCACAGTTTCCATAAAGCCTGAGCTGGAGCTAATAATAATAATAACCAGAAATAATTCGATATCAACGCCAAAAGCATAGTGCCCGAAGTCAAGATAATTAAGTCTTTTACATTTCTGTCAGAAAAAATAATTTTGACAATTTCTTTTTTTTGTTTTTTAATATATCAGCCTTACTCTGCTAACCCGCCTTCCATATTTAAATCGTTGCCAGAGTCTAGTAAAGAGCCAGTTTCTGAATATTTAGGACGCGACATAAAGGTCATAAATTGATAGGCAGCGCCCAACACTACTAGGGATAACGAACTCATAAACTAAGATTAGAAAACGAGGTAAGAAGTCATCAATCATCAATGCGGTTTTCATTCTAGATAAAGGAAACTAGGAGACTTACTATTGTTGTTTTAGACACTTCAAAAAATATAAAATTCACTAGTAAAGATGCTCCTGCACTGCCCAAAGCCATATTCCGATAGAAGCACAACGTACCTTTATTTTCTTCGACAATTTGCTTAGCTCCCTTTGTGCCTTGCTTGCCTTTTTGTTGAGGCTGTGAACGTGTGTTATTTGTTTTTTTTTTTTGATTTTGGAAATTCTCACACATATACTTACAGCCATAATTAGTACTATGTGAACAACTTAAATATGATAGAAATATATAAATCGAACGAGTCCTTTCCTTTTGGCAGTTCTATTAGTAGCAGCTCTGCACGATTGTTATAGAACACGCGTCAGCATTGCCGAAAGTAAATGTCAGTAAATTACTTGCAGAAATTAGAGCTGCCGTATTATTTAAAATAAACGTAGTCATTGATCTTACGACTCCAGTTTTACTGGTTTGGTTTTTACCGAGCTGAAAACTATCTCTATATCCGAAGTTTGCGCAGCCTGGTATACGCGGTTCATGTTCCCTATGTACACAATCTATTATACCGTTCAATTTACAGTGTACTCCATAAGTAATCCCAAGTTTAACGACACAACCCGTTGGTATCTAAAAAGAAATTACCGTAGTTTATTTCGATAAAAAAATTTTCTTTTACTTCATCGAATGATGTGAGTGTAAATAAGACTCGCTTTTACTTACAATACCAAAAAATCCTATATATATTAGAATGAAATGTATATATATACTTAATTACAATAAGAAAAATTGTTTTCTCTCCACCGTTCCTTTTCAAACTGCTTGTTTGCTTGTAAAATATATTAGCTACTCTGTATATGAAATCGTGCTGGTTATTGGCACCCTACACCACTTCTGATACAAGAAAATCTTACGTTTATGCGGATGTACGCAACACTCAGGACAACTGGAGTTAGACCGATCTTTTATAATTACCGACTAAACTTCTCTGTCCGCATTATTTCCCTGACGTTTAATTTACAGGTGGCGGTGGTGTAGAGTATTTAATATTCGCCATAGCCCATAATAGTTCTTTTACTTATTCTTTTATAAAAATTTTTCCTGTAGCTAGCCATATTCTATGATTTCAAAAACAATTATTGTATTGCTTCGTTTCGCTTACACGGATTTCCGATTGGTACCCTGTTTTTTTATGCACGTTTTTCCATTTGGAAAAGTTCATTTCCTTTAAGATTGCCACAATCAAAACTCTACGTTGGGTAGATATCTTCGGAAGGCAGAACAAAATACTTATTAGTATTTTTAAATTAAAAGTAATTAATCATTAATCGATCATATCTAAAAATTCTATATGATTACAAACATTGGCATCGACAGTTAAACGCTAAAATCTGGCAACTTCTATAAACAAAAATGTTTGTAAACTGTGTGGAAAGTTGTGCTGAATAAGAGAAAATTTGGTTCAGGTTAATGATTTTGTACCTTGAACCTCTTCAGTTGTTTGTTAAGAAGTTTGGATAAACAGAACAAGTTGTCAAATCTAAAAGGACGCAGAAATTTACTATTTTTTTATATATATACACAATGAACATGGATAAGTGGATTAAATTAAATAGCCAAACTATAGGCAGAGACAAAATTGCCCGGTAAGATTTCAGTTAATTTCTATTTGCGTCGAACTGAAGTTTTTACTTTCGTTAGATTAGTACAATACGCCTCTCGTGCTTTATGGGATTTTTTGGAATCGTCCGATTTACATCCGGCTATGGTAGAAAACTTCAAATCTTTGGAATACATATTAAGTACATTCCGTAAATGTAAGCTTAAGCTAAACTTAGAGACAAGCAGTTTGTGTAAAGCGTGAATTATTTTTTTGTATTATAGTACTACGCTTTGGTAAATGCTTAGACATCTTTTATGCCAGTTTACGTACTGTACACCACCCGGACTTGACTATCCGCATCACCTTAACCTTGGGTAAATTGTCGCAGGCGTTATTTTTGTTTGCCGATCATTTCATGTTTCTGGCGCGAACAGGTCTTTTCAAAAATCTAAACGCCAACAGATGGAGTACATTTGCAAATAAATATTGGTTGCTTTCGATTACAATGAATTTATGCCGTGATATGTACGAAATACATCGTTTATTTGATTTGCACAAGGCAAGTATCAAAAGTGGCCTTTCTCGTTCGATACCTTCAAGGGTTGAGTCTTCTAAAGACATCAGTCGCTTAGCTTTACACTCGTACAGCTTATTATTGACTCATAAGGACGTTCTTGTCGACATTGTAAAGAATATTTGTGATTTCTTCATACCTTTGACGGCATTGGGTTATACAAGAATAACACCGCGGACGATCGGTTTACTTGGTACTTTTTCATCATTGGCTGGTTTGATAGCCTTAGTGGAGCCGACAGCAAAACTTAGTCTGACTTAAGTATTGGAAATGATTTTAAAAAGTATGCTTTTTATATATAGTTTAGATAGGATTTTAAAAAGGGATTTTAAAAAGTATAAAAACAGGTTAAATATATATTCGACCTAATGTTTTCAAATTCAGATTTTTTATTGTAATTACGTTTGATAATAAAACTGTTTACAAAACTTGAAATATACAATTTTTTTTTTTTGGTTGTAAAAGCCGCAATCACTAAAAATATATGAAAATGCGGCTCCGAAAGTAAACATAAGTGAAACACACTCCTCATCGAGAATGGGATCATTTTTTTTTTTTTCAATATATGGTCTGGACCTCGTCATTATTTGTGAAATATGATATCATTCAAATGTCTTCCGCGGGATATCTTACAAGACTTATCACGTCATATAGCGAGCAACAACACGGTCATCATTAAAAAAAATTCGGTCCCAAGATGCCTTATCCAAACGCTGGAGAGCCATAGACCACATAAGGCAAGATTCTAAGGTAAACGTCATACATAAATATGGGCCAAATTTCGCTAAATTATCAGAGAAATCTATCGTCATATTTTGCAAACGATCTTTCTTTTTTGGCCGTTTGGCGCCTATGTTAAGATTACTTCACGATTAATTTTCACTATTTTTTAAAAATTCAATAATACGTTTAGGTAAACCGCTTAAACAGGAATTTAAATCATCCGCTGGAAACATTTCCTCCTTGAAGTATTTTCCTTTCCAAGCTCCACATTCTTCAGATGGCATTTGGTCTTGTTCTTGAGGCCGACGCACCACACAAACAGAAACATTAACTTCAACTGGTGGTCACGATTCGGAAGCAGAAAAAGAGCCCGAGTCAGTAAGCATTCGCAGAAGACCGCGATCGAAGAAGTGAAAAATAAAATTCATCACGATAAGGTGGGCAAGATCAACAAACTGGGAAGTTCGCTTATTTCTAAAAAGCAAAGAATGTTGTCTGAAAAAAAACTTTTAAGACATCTTTAACAAGCAGGAAAGAAGAAGGAGAGTACCATAGATGGAGCGGCAAATTGTCAGCAGATGAGAAAAAGTCGGACATAAAAGTTGAAGAAGAGAAAAGTGAATAGGTTCTTACTCAAGATAATTCAAAGCAGTTTGCATGTCTACAGACCGATGATACACCATTATTGGCTCTTGATGATGAATCGAAACAAACCGTTTTAAAATCTCAAAATACTAGCTAACATTTAAACATCGGGCATTCGACTTTAAATGTTCTGATGATGTTTCGTAAAAATCGATTGTTGTCATTAACCCCAAAAAAGAATTTTAGGTCATCCAATGAACTCTGTGAGACACCCAACAGAAATTTATTACAACCCGAGAGTACAACACCCGAAATAGGGGAGTTTCTCAAAAATGCTGTTGAAACAAGTACACCATGCAATAACCCAAAACGCAACATATAACCAAAAATATAACCAAAAGCATCCGTCTAGTTGCAGCTTATAGCAACAAACACTTTTTCAACCGCTTCGATTTGTTATTTTATTTTCCTGTGGCTTTATATTAATTTATATAATTTATATTTAGCTTTATTTGTGTAATAATTTTATTTAAATAATATATATATTTATATAATAATAATAATAGCTTTATTATATATTTAAAATAGCTTTATTAATATATATAAAAATATATATAAAAGAAATTGTTATTCCTTTTAATGGTTTCCTGATTGTTTGCGATCATTTTTCCTTGGTCGCTTTTGCTCTTTTATCACAACACCGTATAAATACATGCCGTAACCGTCTAATTTACTTCGCGACTGCTCTGCCCGCAAAGTAACCGAAATCTCACCCAGGTCTTTAAAGTGACTTGAGTCATTTAGATTCGATTGATGCGTGGTCGAATCCAGTCGTCGTTACTCCACTGCCATATAAGTTTCTTAAAGATGAAGGAATCTGGGAACTGGCGAACTATGGTACGAGCGTTTAATTTTAAACACAGTTTTTAAAAACAATATATACTAACCCTTAACATCTTTATCAGAAAAGTCAAATTTATGCACGATTATTGAGTTTACGTGATTGTTACTTAACAAATAATCTCATTCCTCCAGCACTTTCCATTTCAGAATTTGATGAGCCTTCAAAAATAATATTACATTATATTTATTACACATTAAATGAATTAGTTCGTACTTACCATCATCAAACAATGTTTACAAATAAAATAAATAAATAAATAAATAAAATCAATTAGAATTATTTGTACGCTTCACAGCATTCGATGTCCGTCAATTCTACTTTCCTTCAAATTAAAACAAAAAAGTAGCGCTTCCTAAAAATTGTTTTCGACAGATAAGTTGAAATAACGAGAACGCAAAGAATCGCGCTTTACCTTGTTAATATAGTTACCAGATGGTCCAAAGCGATTTAATGTTAGTTATGCCTTTTCTTGTATATTTCTCAAAACTTAGGGAGCTGACACATTGAGGCGTCATTTTCGTTTTCGGTTTAAAAACCCCTAAGTGGCACACAATATGGATAGCCCCCATGTTGTTTTACAAAAAATTCAAACGTAACACGTGGGGTCCGAACCAAAATTAAAGAAAACAGCGGAAACATAAGCAACTAGTTTATAAAAAGTAACAATTTTGTTATCCAACCCGGGGCAACCCAGGAACAACGCCTCATTTTGTCAGCCCTCTTGTACACCGCGCGAACTTCCTACAAATTGAAATTCGCTAATTAATTCTCATCCTAGAAAAATATATTGATACTTATATATTTAGTTTACTTCAGATTGACTATTCTTTTTTTCAATTTCTTTTTTTTTTTTTTTGGATAGCAATTTTTTTAGTCGTCTGTGTCATCTTGCATTTTTGATTACCAGAAACTGACAATCAAGTTTCGACTTATAGCACATTATTACACTGCACAGCTGGCAATGTTTTGGTTTCTCATTTTTCCAATAAGTAAATTGAATTAATGCGGAATTTATAAGATTTCTATTTTACAGTTAAATAAAATAAATTATTATGTACGCTTCCATGGCTTTGGATCCTCATAATCATTGTTGCGGCGGCCGTGCTTGGTGTGTGAAGGATATATGCGGTGTTTGCTGTGTGTTGTTGACATGGCTTTTAATATTGTTTGCTGAATTTGTAGTAATGCGAGTTATTCTCTGGCCAAGTCCACATCCACTATTTAGCACGGCGAATATTGCAATATTTCAAATGTTGGCATTTTTAGCATTTGCTTCACATATTCGTACGATGCTATCCGATCCGGTAAGTTAAAACGTATAAATGATTAAATACACCAAATGTTATTCAATAATAATACATTTGCTACAGGGCGCTGTTCCACGTGGTAATGCCACGAAAGAAATGATAGAACAGATGGGATATCGTGAGGGTCAAATGATATTTAAATGTCCGAAATGTTGTAGCATTAAACCTGAACGTGCTCATCATTGCTCAGTTTGTCAACGATGTATACGTAAAATGGATCATCACTGTCCTTGGGTGAATAATTGTGTCGGTGAAAATAATCAAAAATATTTTGTATTATTCACGGTCAGTAGCAAACAAACAACTATTGTCCATATAACAAGAATTTTTGTAAAGTATAGTTTAGTTTTACATTGCATCGATATCGGTTCATGCTATATTTTTGGTAATAACGTCGTTAGCTGAATGCGTTAAAAATGAATGGCGTCAGTGCTCACCGTACACTCCACCCACTACTATCATTCTCTTATTGTTCCTAATTTTCGAAGCTTTACTCTTTGCCATCTTCACTATAATCATGCTTGCCTCGCAGCTAACCGCTATTCTCAATGATCAAACGGTAAGCGCAATATTAAAATATACAAAGAAAAAAACCAAGGCGTTCTTTATTACTATTTATTTGCATCTTGTTGAAAAATAGGGTATTGAGCAACTGAAAAAAGAGGCTCGCTGGGCGAAAAAATCACGTCTTAAAAGCATACAATCGGTTTTTGGCCGTTTTTCATTGGCATGGTTTTCTCCATTTACGAAACCATCGAATAAATCAGGCTTTAATACCCATTTTTATTCCGTATAGAGATGAAATTGTTGTTTGTCTTTACTACTGATAAGTTTCATTATTGTGATTGTGAGTGCGATAATTAAGAAAAGATGTACGTTGTTTTTCTTTTTTAATATGTTTTAGTTAATTTAATTTTAGTTTTAACACTCAAACGCCACTAAAGAATGAAGACAGGCTATCTGTGTAATTTCGGTTGCATCGCAAATTTTACGAAACTTCAAATTAAAATTCATAAAAACCTTTATATTAATTCCAACAAAAAGTTAAGACTTGCATTAAACGTTAAGAGTGTTTGCGAAAATAGTTGACACGCCTGCAAAAAAAATTCATTCGCGGTGGTGATGGGTTTCGAATGTAATATTTTTGATTTTTATATTGTTTCATATTTTATTAATTTACTTTATTTCAGATTTTTGGAAAGTTGAAAAAAAATCTTGTAATCTAATATTTATACTTATTATATTTAAGACGTAATTACTTTAAGAAAATTGTTGTCTAAAAACTAGGTTGACATCCTGATTGATCGAGTTTAATATGTATATATGCATATGTACAAATGAATAATGAACAAATTATTGTTTACGATAAAGTATAAATAAGAAAGAAAATTGATATATAAAATTCTTTGCTAAGCATCCCGGAAACGGTGGATGTCGGAGTAAAAGTAAAGTATTTTTATTTTAATTTAACAGCATGTTCAATTCAAATCGTTTCTAGCGGCAAAGTGCAATTGAATACTCATGCTCTTTATTTAGATTCAGATTTTTGTTTTGCTTTAAGAATAACAATACGAAAAATATTGTACTCACTGGCCATTTACTGCTCTGAATATATATTGCTAGACACCCCTTCAAAAAAAAACAAAGATTAGATCAAAATGTATGGGTGCTGCTGCCGCTGCAATTTTTTCGAATATTTACCGGCCGTGTGTTCAGTCTGAGGAAAACTGTCGGAGATCCAGGTACGTTATCTGGACGAACGCGTGTGTTAGTACTTCATCGAATATTTATTTATATACATATACTTCGACATATATATATATATATATATATATATATATAATTTTATATTAAATTATTCTTACTTCGAGTGTAAAGTAATTGAAAAAAAACTTTTTTTATACTTGCATAATTTCTTTAAAAAAAAACTTTTTAATGTTTTTGTGGGACGAATGTAGGAGAATTGAATAAAAAATTTTAAATAAATTTCAAAAATTTGCATATATAGAAAATGTTTCATAATAATTTTTAAGAAATTATGGTTAATTTTCGTTCTTTTTGCGCAGTTGTTGTTGTGTAGTGAATATTAAGTATAAATTTAACAAGGTACCTTTAGAAGATGTGAAAAAACGAAAAACCAAAAAAAAAAAATTTTCATTTTTATTTAAGCGTAAAATATCGGCTTCTATGTAAGCATGTATGTTAACGCGTGTGTTTATGTGATAAATAAAAAATATATAACGAAATTTGTTATAGGTTCTCCCCAATGTGTTCCATAGTATTGGTGATTGTATTAAATTGTAAGCATCGTCAAATTCACTTGAATGCCCTCCTGAACATTAGAGTGGTCTTCGTAGCGTACTTACATTTAAGGAACATGATGTCTTTACAGCAGTAGTAAAAACATATGGGTCGAATTGATGTTTTAATTAGTTGAGAGATTTTCGCAAAGTACAACAAAGTTCTGAATTTGTTATGAGCCGTTTTCTTTTTGAAACTTCTCTTGAAAATTGTGAATGTTTTTCAAGTCAAAACCCCTTTTTTGGTAACAAAAATTGTATCATATAAGAACATTACATTTGAATATTTTTTATTTTGAAGTGTTTTTATTAAAATTTGATTAATCATTTAGAATTCAATTATTTTTAATATCGCTTCATAACGATCTACTAGATAAAATAGATAGACTTCTTGACAAGAAAGTTAAAAAAGGTTTATTAAAACAACTTGTGAGGAATTTTGAAAAAGTAAAAAATTGAAATAACTTGGAAATTGACAAATTAAAAAAAAAATAATTTGAGAATTGTAAAAAGAGTACCCGTCGTATCGTTTTCGAAATGTTGATCGTAATAATTTTCTTATGTTTAAAAATCAGAAAAGGACGTCTCCTTAGTTCACCTTCAATAAGTCACAATTTCAAAACTATTTCGTTTCCCTATTACTGTTTTTTTTACTGTTTTTTCCAGGGCGCAAATTTATTTCTAATTTTATAAAATTTTTTTTCTAAAGATTGGTTCTGATTTCCGTAATCTAGTGCACATTATTAGAAAATTCGGTTGAACACAGAAGAACAAGAAGTTTTTGTACAATTTTAGGATTTTTCGAGCATTGAAAAAAAAAGAAGTTTCGCAAGTTTGGAAAGTTTCACAAATTTACTATATTTTTTTTTTTGCAACGCTGTAACTTATTGAACATTCGAGAAGAAGGGAAAGAAGATGTACATAATAATAAATATGTACAAAAAATAAGGGGAAGAAGATGTACATAATAAAACTTTCCAATGCAGGACGTTTTCTTTGAAAATATATCATAACAATTATCATAATTTTTAGAGCATTATATGCTGAAAACATGAAAGGAAACATATGAATTCAAAAGGAGGTATGGAAGAAATATACGAACCTCCTTTTGAATTCATATGTTTTTCATAGGTTTACTCCATACCTCCTTTTGAATTGTAAACAATTTCTCCATACCTCCTTTTGAATTGTGAACAATTTCGTAAATATCTTCATGAATTTGAATTGAATATGAATTTCTTCATGGATTCAAAACTTTTTCGTATGTTTTCAAAACAAAGGGAGGTATGCTGACTTTGATTGAATCTAAACTGATAGACATAAGTGTCGTGAGAGGAAGTCACCAATTGACGCCTAATTCCCGCAAACCACTTCCCTCTTTATACCTTCGGGCTTTGTCTTGTTTTCTTGCCTTGTTTTGGGTTTTTTCATCAGACGTTCACTTGTTAGCTAATTGGGACAATTATGACGAGAAATATTAACGCAAACTCTTGTGTACCTGTAGTGATCGAAAAATGAAAATAATTTGCAGAAATTATTACCCCTTGATCAAATTATACATTTTAATGTCAGCTTCAAACAAACAAATTAGATATTTTTGCTGCCACCCTGGTTCACAACCCCTTTCACAATCACGTGTGCCCAAGAACAGTTGAGTTTAAGACAAAGGTCGCAATTTTTCAGGAATTTTAAGGACCGTTTTGGCCAACGGACGGTTTTTTGGACCCCGTTTCATAAGATATGAATAACAAGTTTATAGCATCGGACTTTGGATGGACAGGCTACAGCGCTGAATAGATTTCTATTTATAAGGCATATTTCGGTTTTACCTGGGCCGCGCAGTCAAACATTTGCTTTTGCCTAGGCCTTGTAATCAAACATATTCTTTTGCCCGCGTCATGTAGTCAAACATTTAGTTTTAGGTACGTTTTAATGTTCATTTTATGCAAAACTAGTGATAGGATCCTTTGTTTAAATTTAGGTTATATACGATTGATTCGAGCCAGTGCAATGTGGATATAAAATAATATATAATTGATGTAATATATAAGTGATGATGAGTTAATTTGATACAAAGTAAAACACAAAGAAGCATTATTAAGTGGTTGCAAGTGATTTAAAATAAAAAAATAAACGAACATGAATAAAGAAATTTTGTTAATAACCACCTTATCCTACCTACATATATAAATATATATATATAAAATATATATATATATATATATATATATATATATGCGTGTGCGGTGATGTTAATGTTTTAATTTTTGAATACCTCAGTCAATCTAAATATAAATTTTAGTTTCGTTTCGTAGTGTATACATGCTTGGGCAACATCTTGTAAATGTATTTAAATGAAAATTATGTGTACGAAAGAGTTTGCACTCTTCGTCTTTGCGTCAGATTTTTAAATAATTTATATTTATTAATAATATTTTGCTTTTAACGTGCGTGTCATTGTCATGTGTCTTCATAGAAGTGTTTGTGTGTGCGTCACCCATTTGTATAAATTGTTTTATGTTGTATTTAATAAAATTTCGGATATCAATCATTTATGGAGCAGTTAAACTTAAATCAAAATTCAACTCTAACAACAATTGAAACGAATTCTTCTTCAACATTAGCCGAAATAGTGCAACAAAATGCTGCTGTTGCCACTAATACGAATAAGTTAACGACTTTAACATCGGGTATGTGTATGTGTATATATGATTACGTTTCTAAAATTTACTCACTATTACATAACATTTCTCTCAATGCTGCTGCGCAATTGTGCGTATACATTGCGTCTTTATGCCCTCCACTGAGAATTGTCAGTCGATTGAAATAAATGCTTAGCTTTTTCTGCAAAGTTGCTACCGGGTTGCCCCATTTCGATCCTAAAAACTGAAACGGTGAGGGCAGATAATTTGATGTAGTTATTAAATGGATTTTAGATATGTCTAGTATTTATAATGGGTGGACGTACACAGTCATTGAGTAGAATGGCATATAATGAGAGTTGGGAAATTCATTTGACAAAACTTAATCTCGCAACTTTAATACGAAAGACGAATCATTTTGGGTTTGCAAAGTTTTACATTCAGTAACCGATGAGGGGATAATAATAATTATGTTTGTTTGTTATATACTGAATCAAGCATGTCAATTCTTCGTCATCATGATGAACGTAAACATTTCGCATCGATTTAACTATGGCAGCCTGTTAGTCCGTCCGTTTATCTATTTGTTCTTAGAATGCTCAAGCTCGCTCAAGCTCAAAGTGAAGATAAAATTCTGAAAAATGATGTAAAGACATGGCCGTTATTAACATAGAACCAGGCCTACATTGAGAAAAAAATTATATTTTACTATTCTAGTTTCTGAAGTTCTATTCTAATTTACTCAAATTATATTTAACTGTTTATAACAGCACAGTTGTCTGAACTTAGTCCAACAGTTGGAAAGGCTTTCTAAAATTGCATTGGAAAAATCAGAAAACATAGTTAAAATACAGGAATAACATGTTAACATGTAAGCAGTAACAAATGTCGTTCTAAATCCTTATAAGCGGGTTAGAAGGGCTCGTTTCAAAACTGCCATCGATCCATCAAATGGCATTTCTATATTTAATAAAATATTATAAAGGATAATCAGTCAAAAATTTGCCTCGAGTAAATTTCGAAATAATCAAATATACAAATTGTCCTACGAATAAGTTATGACGGGAAACTCATCCTTTAGCAAACACTTTTGGGAACAGTTTTTATATCCTTTCTGTTCTACTGACAGCAATTATGATAAAATGTATCCGCCATATATACGCATACATGAGTATGAATACATGCATATTTACGCATATATAGGGCCCATTGGATTTTGTAATTAAACTAATTTTAAAATGTTGTGCCATTAAATTGTAAAAATATTTTCATTTATATATAAAGAGATGTATGTAGCGCCTATGTTTTCTATTTCTGGGTTTAAAAAAAAGCAAATCCGTTTTTTTTTTTTTTTCTTAGTAAAAAGTTCATTGCACTCTAGAATTATATAGGTTTCTTTCCTATGTTGCTCTGTTCTATTTTGTGTGCGTATGTGTCAAAGATGTTTTCTGATGCTATTATTATCATAATTGTGCCAGGAGACGCATGCTTTAGCTTCAACTTCAACTAAATGGTTGCACCGTTTTCTGGTCATTGAAAATCCAGGAAACAGTTAAGCAAATGGTAAAAAAGGATGATGAAGAGCATAGAGATGACACCAGAATGTTTTAAAGACTACTAATAACTTACGATAAATATTTGGGAGAATCTAATAAGTTATTGCAGAAGAAACTTCAAAGCAATCAGCAGACATATCCGTGCCAATTAACATAAAAGCTTAATCATCTTTTAACACGATAGATAAATTCTAAGACAATTCGTGCAAAAAAATTCGTGAAAAAAAGGCTACATTGGAAAATCGTAGATTATTTCCAGTCCTAAGAAACCGAATGAAAGTACAATAAACAATAGTAAGAAATTCTGCTTAAAGTTCACTCAAGAATTTATTTCGCGCTTGCACATTTTATTTCACTTAATATATTATAAGAATTAGATGATAGTTTGAAAAACGAAACTAAATCGGGTAAAAAATAAATGACATTTTTACTCTATACATAAATCCGGTAATCCTACTCATACACGCATATAATCGAACTGAAATGTGAAAACTATAACGTGAAGTTACAATGTATATTTGTGTGGATTGAGAATGAAAAAGTTCATCGAAATATTAAAAAAAAAAAAAAATTTCAGAAAAATTCAACAAAAAAATTCGACAAAAAGATTCATAGAATATTGAAAATCGTGTTAAAGCAACAATTCGTGTAAAAAGAGCATTAGAAGAATACTACCTCCATATTAGTTGTAATTCTCATTTATTCTCATTTTCTGTAACGTGCACCTATTCCTAATAAATGTTAGACTATAACTTATGTTTGTCTGGGCGAGGAGCTGTTCGTATGTTCGTTGACGAATAAATCTTAATTAACTAAGTTGGGAGAAGCCAACGCAAATATTTCAGAAAAAAATTTTTTTATTAGCCTAACAGATGCTTCACACCTTGTAGAAGGTGTGAAAGAAATGTATTATCAGAAAGAAGTTTTTTTTCTTGCAAACACGAGCTTTTCCATAAGCGCATCGAAAAGGCTTTTTAAATGAATGCTTGTTCTCAAGCTACTATGTAACGTACTATGTGAGGTAATGTCTTATCTGCTGGTTTTTAACTTGCATCTTCAAAAGCCGTCAGCGCTTCTGCCGAGAAATTACGAGTTTGGGATAAATGTCTTGGTTTTCGGGTGTAGAATTATATTCCTTTTTGTCTTTTTTTCTGTCATTTCGCATAAATAAATAAATTGTACTACCTGCGATTCTATCTTTGGAGGCAGGTTTTTCGAGCCAAAAATCGGGGGGGAAAGAAAATCAGAAAGAATATTTGGCCATCCAAGAGCATTTTTATGCACAAAAATGACAAAAAGTTTATCGTAATCACAAAATTGTCTTTAATATATTTCCAAATTTTAAAGGCGCTTTTCTCGAAACACGGCTTTTTAAAATGATAAGTAGCACAACTCCAACAATTTCCGTTTTATTTGACAAATATTGTTAACCTAACATTCGAAAGGACAAGGAAGAGCATCATAATCGAGAAAGGCCGATCATTCGATAAACGACACCACGTCATGTAGTACAGTCATTCACTCGTATTGGTAATAATACGCCATTGATCTCATGCAAAGGCAAACTGCTCAAGAAAGCCCGCATATTGTAGGGCGCCCAAAACATGACATGACGTGATCCAAATTAAGCGAACTTAATTTACTTCTTAAAAATGTTATTATTTTTCAGTTTGTGTTACAAAAAACTGGAACTTAGGCTTTCTTTACATAAAAGGGCTTGCTTTTCGTCATAACCCCTGTATAAGCTGCTGTCGTGAAAATAGACCTATGTAACCCAAATTCTTTATCGTTAATTTTTTGGCTGTTCCGGACTGGTTTCCATCATAGAATATTAAAAATTAAATTTTTTTTGTGAAATTTTATGCGGAGTGGGGTCCAACAATTAAACTCCATACTTGGTCTGTTTCATTTTTATGTCAAGTTACCATTGTGAATAAATTGTCATCATAAAATATAAAGATATATAAAGAAATATAAAGATAATCGGAGCTTTTTGGGATATAAGGGTTTACATTTACGTAAGCGGATGGTTATATGCCGTAGTATGCAAGATAGAGACCCCCGTGGTCCAAATTCGGTAAGATTGATTTATTTGCCAATCAACTATAGGGAGCCGATTTTCACCATTCGATTCTCCTCGAAACTGCTATATAGGAGCGGGTTTAAAAAGTTGTCCCAGCCGAACCAAATTTTTCACACCATTTCAAAGCTTCTAAATGATATTTTGAAAATTGAAATCTTTTTCCAATAGCGACTTTTCAAAATCAGGCGCTATATGTGGAGTAATCAAGAAAGGGAACGGATCCCAACAATTTTTAGTAACGTTCGTCCTTGGGTCAAAGCACGTAAGAGTGCCATATTTCATCAAAACTTTTCGAAAATTGCGGTCTGCAGTTTAAATACAAAAATACGTGGACAGACATCAGACGGAGAGACGTATAGGCGGACCGACAAGTCTAGAGATATTGTCTGAATCGATCGATATAACAAAAGGCTCTTTTGGGTGTTATATTCGTCCGTACAATCTAAATATAGTCTGTGCTACAAGCGGTGTATGGTATAAACAGTACATTAAGGTTTTCCAGATGTGTGCCCAAAGCAACCAGAACGATTTGAGATAGATCCACTTTTTTTCATATCGACTTGTCCGTCCGTCAGTCCGTTTTGTTCTCTTTGTGTTCGACCGCAAATGTTTTACCGAGATGTTTTAATGAAATTTAGTAGGCTGCGCGTATTTTGGTCAAAAAATTGAGGGTATTGAAAATGGTTTCTGATCGGGCAATGTGCAAATAACTGCATTAGAGGGCATTTAACGATTTTAATTATAATTTTTACTTGTTTTATTCCTAAAGTAATAATCATATTATTTGTCTGAAAGTTTGCCCTTTTCAATCAAACATTCGCTAATCAGACAATATTTTTAAAAAATCTCACATGTTTTCCTTGCCACACGCATCAATATTACATGTATTTTTTTTTTTTTTTTTTTTGTGTTAAAATCAAATTTTAATCAGTCACAGTGCTTGCCCTTAATTTAAAAATGCTTCAAGAGATTGACTCCGGCATATACTATCATTTTCTACTATTTTTCAAAATTAAGTTTCTTTTATAACATCCTCGAATATTATTACCGTACCACTTTTTCTTCCATCTCAAAACAATTGTCAAAGATTCTTTTTTTAAGCTGTTGCGGAAGCTTACTCCCTCAATACTTTAAATGTGTCATCCTAGCTAATTTCTTGAAGTCAACTTCAAAAAGTGAATCATTTTATTTGTTTATTGTATACTTTTATAATTCTAGGTAAATTTTACAAATATCAAAGTGAACTAAGCATGACTTTATATATTTCTTATAAAAGGCTGGTGTCAATCATGTTTCTGTCGACGAAAACATTACCGTCAAATGTTTACTCATCTGCATTTCTCATTGCATTAAATATTTAGTTTTATATACCCTCCACAAAATTATTCAGATATGTTATCATCTTCATTAAGTTAATAACAAACACACTTTTGCATATGAATCTTGAAAAAATATTGTATAAAGCGATGTGGTAATTGTGCGAACTTTTTATTCCACCTCACTATGCGCGACTATCTAATCTATCTGATTTTTGAAAGGCGGCTTTCATATTTATATATAAGGCGGCTATCTAAAAATTGTAGAAATCTTTATAAAAATCAGTCAATCAAATCAATCTACACAAATATGCTCATGATTGCTGTCTAAAGTGGTCTACTATTAAGAATAAGAGATTAAAAAATTGGAGTAGGCGTGGACTCAATATTTTTCACGCTTTACAATCTCTTTTACTGTTTTTTTCGAAACGTAATGCTGTAAATAGATTATGCTTCGTAAGCATAAGTACTTTATTCCGTTGTGGTAGCATAATAGCAGGAAGTCATTTTTGTCATAACGTTTGCAAAGCACAGAAGGAAGCATCAGAGAACTTACGAGGTATGCATATTCTTGATCTACGTCAAATTCTAAATCGCTGTCTGCCTCTCTGTTGTCTCATGGCTGCAAAAATGAAGCTATTGACTTTTTAAAAATAATTTAAACATTTTCAAGTAGACGCCTACATGCCTATGTGGCTCTACATATAGAACATAAAAATGTAATTTTTTTACTTATTTTATCTTTTCCAGAATAAGGGTAATGGGTATGAAAGATTCGGTCATGACCGAAGATGGTTTTCTTACTTGTTTATATTACGATTTTATATATATTATGGTGAAGGGGTATCAAATTTGTGCAGATGTAAGCAAAACCCAGAAACCCTGAAATAGACATACCTTTTGTTATACTAAGCGATTATGAATCATTTTTTGAATTGAATTAGGCATGTCCGTCCGCTCGTTCATATAATCACTTCGATATATTCTGATATTGATGACGTTTTTCGGCCCAAGAACGGACATTATTGAAAATGGATTGAATCGGACTATTCGTGACTATTTTTAAAAAATTATTGTATGAAAAAAATTTTGAATTTTAACATTTCGTGGCGAAAATAGAATTGGCTGAATGTAGAAAATCTAGATGGTGCGGACCCATTTTTTGAGGGTATTCTTACAAAAAACTAACGCCATAAATAGCGAAAATTTCCAATTTTAGATAGTTTATGACAAAATGTAAGAGTTTTAACGAAAAGTGAATCTTTGTTTGTCAGTAAGGTATACTTTATAATATTTTAGAACAAAGATAGATGAAGAATTGTATTAGACGAAGGGATGTAAGGTAATTGCCATTGCTTGCAAGGCCGGCTATTATCATCTTTGTTTGTTTCAAATTAAATTTTTCCCAGAATTGCCTAACTTTAGGATCTGATTGTTTTAAAATATGTTTTAAGAGTACTTACGAATAGATCGCTACTCAAACAGGCCCTGCCTCTACGTGTAACATTGCCTTCACCGAATTTACAGTATATTGCTATGGATCGCCATACTTAACAGTAGTGTTAATGTGTTTCTTAGCATTCTACCAGCATAGGTTATCAGTAATGTTGGTGGTTGGCCGCAACCAACTGCTTGACTTCTCTTATTTTTGTTCTTTTTTCTTCGTTATCGTAGATTTTCGTCGACTAAGTCCTTAGCACGGATTTCGAATAGCATTCTATAACTTTGAGCAGTCCATTTTTTCAACTTAAGTCTTACATATCGTGCACCGAGCATAAAAATCAAAGATGATACGTTGACCTGGAAGCTTAGCTTGAGATCCTACATTTTTTTCTCTATTTTGCCAGGTCAGCTCGATGTATGTTCCATTTAACGAACTCATTTATACACCTAATGTACGTGTGTAGTGAGATAGTTGGTTAATTAATGCATAAGTATAAGTAATTAATTCAGTGTTAAATCTTCTTCTTCATCATGTGTGTGTGCGTGTACGGTATGATACGATTTGCTATAAAAATACATTTTTCTTTTTTTGCAGATAATCCACAACAGCAACAGGGTCATAAATTTCCGAAAATCTCCTTTAGCGATAACTCAAGTTCAATAATACAATGCATATCGAACGATAGAGCGACATTTTTTGTTAAAATCGATTTCGAAGAGAATGAAAGCGATATAACGCCTTTAAGATTTGAATGGTAAGTGAAACAAACAAATTTTTTTAATAATAATGGTAATAATAACGATGACGATAAAATGTACACACACATTGAAGACTTAAAGCGCTTGAAATTGAAGGAAAAATTAATAAATATTTTGAAAACTCATATGATTTGAAAAAAAGCCAAAAAAAAAGAAAAAGAAAAAGAAATTAAAAAAAAAATGCAAACTATGTGAAATTAAGAATTTCTAGTATCATCGCTAGAGAGGAAGGAAAAGAAAAAAAGTTGCTGGCAGATATTGTTCAAAAAAAAATATATATATACATATATTGTTGTTTTTTTTTCTTGTCATATCGAGGAAGAGATGTCTGCGCTCATATGTTGAATGAATGTGAGTGGGAAAGTTATGCGCAATTTACTGTTCGTAAGTTTATTGCGCAAAGAGACCAATTTATTAGATATTAGAATTTAGATGAGCGCCGTCACGGTGAAATATCAAAGTACAACAGTCCAACTTTGACGACCGCCTTGCTAAGAACTAAAACCGTTACCTGTTGGGGAATTCGGTGTCTCAAGGGAAAGAAATATTGAGATGAAAGATTTTTTAATGTTTTTCGGGAAAAGTTTATTGTCCTTTTTTTCTTCTTAATTTGATTACTTACTAAAAGGAAGTGAATTTACGTTTTTATACCCATATATTGCCGAACATATGTACTTGTTCGCTTAACTATTTAGAAATAGTTGTGGTTTTGTTTTGGTTTTTGCATTGTTTACAAAGAAAAAAGAAAACAAAAGAAATTTACAACAAAATAATACGTGCTCCAATTTTGCATGCAAAAGTTGGTTTACTTGTAGATATTTATTTTTCATAACAAATTTCAAAATCCGTGTTACATAAGATACACTTTCTTTAGTGTGAAGGAAACCTAAATGGGTCCGGATAGTGAAAAAATAATTAAATTAGTTTTGCACTTTTTAAACGAGAAAATAAAATGCATTTTTGGTTTACTTGTATTCCCAAAAAAAAAAAAATAAAAAAATAAAAAAAAACTTAACGAGTGACACGTTGCTCTTAATCAAAAAGTCAAAAAGAAATAAAGTTTTTGGTCATTTATAAGAAAAGACGACAATAAAGAACAAAAAAATATTAAGAAGATCTACGAACATACAAAAGTGTGTGTGATATAAATTATATAGTTTTTTTTTTTGTTTAAATAAATAAATTCTTTACCAAAAATTTTTATAAGCCGTTATAACTTAGCGATCTTTTCGAAGCAACTAAGAAGAGAAAGAGTGAGAAGAAAAGTGAAAGAAAGCGAGATAGTGTGAAAAGAAAACATCTATGTGCGATTATTCTTTTAGCATTTTTATTTTAATAATTATTACATACATGTACATGTACACATGGTCACGAAAAGTAATGTATTAGAGGCGCGGAGCGATTATTAAACCCAGCTTTTTCTAACTCAGGAGATGTGTTTTATTCGCGTAACACCGAAACGCGAGGAAAGAGGAAAATTTAGGAAGGTAGTGCTCGCGATCTAGTGGGCAAATGCCATATCGATAATGTTATATATTATGCCTTCGCCAACTGCGCATCCAGTACACAATAGAAATAAACTCTATCGCATTTGAGATTTGAATTCGCGAACAATGATCAAAATTTAATTTTATTGCTTTGCAAAATTATTTCCGGCGTTACAGGCAACCACTTTGCTCTCATTGATTTCGTCAGCAAAAATTGCGGCATTCATTAGTCTAAAGATCTATGCAAATAAATTTAAAACTCGTTGCTTGCGAGCTGATCACATATAATTCTATGTTTTCCACAAACCAGCCAATCTTCAATCTGTGCGCAAAATTTATAGACAGCATTGAGCGCACTGGTATATCAAGCAACGTAGGCTAATTTCCAATTCTTCTTCAACAATTCCAGACTCTTTTTACAGAATAATGTACGTTCACTATGAAATTGAAATAACTTGTAGAATGAATAAGTGATAAAATAACCGTAATCCGAAGGAGTACATTTTGAGAATAATAGCAGCCGAAAAATTTGATCGAAGCTATAGAATCTACGACGACAAAACACGTTACTTTCTCTTATGACTTGTAATCGGTCAAAACGCCAGAATACAGCTGTTAGACGCTTGTACGTATTTTGATCATTTTTTCGCTTGAAAAAGGCATCTAGTGAGACAAATTCGTAGAATGGTATTTTCATTATTCATCATCAATTGTGTTTTTCATCATTCTCTACAACTTTTTCCCATTTTTCTTGCAACATGGCGGTATCATGCCGAAAGAACGATATTGGTTTGGCAATGATCGACTCATCAGCTCATTTTCGCACGTCTTCATTGTTGCGAAACCGCGTGTAGCCATGCCATCCTGTATTGGTTTGAACAAGTGGTAATCAGAAGCCGCTATGTCTGCTGATTACGTTAAGCGCGGCAGAACTTCCCATTCGTCCACTTGATCGATTGACGTCGATAGACATCTGCTTCATTTGATTTTAGCAGCTCGTAATATACTATACCATGCTGAACCCAACATATACAAGGCACAAGTTTAGGCCCATGAATATTTCGCTTCGGTGTCGATATGGATGTCTCTTCTGGACTAATCCATGACTTTTTACGCTTGGGATTGTTGTAGTAGATCCACTTTCCACTGCCTGTCGCAATACCACGCCACAGATAACTCCAAATGGCATTTTAAGTCAATTCGCGTGGTAGTCATTTTCCATCCTTTTGAATCTTTTCGATGTAAAAATCTAGAAAAAGTTGATTCATCAACTACTAAGCTGTTCAAAAATTCTTTAAGAGTTTGAGTTGCGTTTTCATCCAAGAAGTCTTGCTATTCTTTGTCTTCGATCTTTTGTGGTCATTCAAATCAAAATCATAACTTTTAAGCCATTGAAACCAAGACCGACAATCGGAATCTGAGGAATGAGCATCAGCATAAGCTACTAAAAGTGTTTGATGGTGTTCGGCAGCAGATTTGTTTAAATCAATTTACAAAAGTAATTTATGTCGAAGTTGCAATTTTGAGCTTTCCATGGTTTGCGTCTGTATACACGAAGTAACTCAGTAACACAAATGGGAATGGTATGTTGTGTAGGGAAAAGTCAGCTTTATCGAATTTAGCTTTTGTGTACATTGTAACTTTGCTTTACTTTATCTTTGCAGCCAATAGATGTCGCTGATCAAAACACCTCCAAGTACCTGTTAAATGCTCGCACAAATTGAATGACAATTGCTTATGCTCTGCAAGGTTTCATTCCCCCAAGTTCTTTTATATAAAATTTAGGGTAACAGCTTTTCAATATTGATGTGCAGAAGAAGTGAATTAAGTTAAATTTCGATCGGATAGCAACTGATCAGCAAGTCGGCTTATGGTCATGTACACACAAGCTTTGTGGACGGTCAGCATCATCCAATATCAATTAAACACCTTCTAACTTTCTGTTCATACCACAGATTGCTAAAGTAAGATCCTTCATGTTGTGGACGCCACGTACTTATTTTAGAATTAATACATTTTCAGATAGATAGTATACACTCAAAAAAAAGAAGCGAAGTTCTTCTTATTTTAAAAGACAAAGGTGGTCTCAGATTATTTTGCACTGTGGTGGTGTCTTTTAGCCGACATGCCTCATTTTCAATACCAACCTGTATGCGAGAACTTTCAATGTTTCTGACAGACACACGCACATGTTCAAATCGATTCAGAGTTTAATGTAAGTTAAGAATTTATTATGAGCAGGAACACGTGGAGGAATGGAATAGTATCTGTGAAAGTTCGACTTAAAAGCGGAAACAGCAGGCGCGGTGGAAAAGATTACTGCTGGTAGTTTAAAGCGAGTAGTGTACTTAAAATGCATTATGCATGCAATTCCAGAATAAGTGGGCGAGAGTGCTGAGAAAGCCATTTAGTTAAAAGACATAGTTGCTAGACATATGCCTTTTATTTCTGCAGAACATCTCGCCTGCATGTACGTGGGGATAAGCATAGCTCACATTACGCTTTCATCGCTCGTGAGCATTTGAATCTCTCACTGCGTGTGGTCTATGCGGTAATGTGGCAAGATTCGGAGTCTCTTACCCACATATACATATATTTGAATTTGTCTATTTGAGAAACTAGTCTGTCATAAAAGTATAAACTAAAACCCGTTTCTTTCGTTAGTGCAAACGTTACATTAACGGATTTAGAAGGGCTTGTGTACGTGATTTCGACAGAAGCCTAGAGGCAATGTTCCAGCTGTGAAAAAAGGATACGAATATGAAAATGATATCCCCTGTGCCTCTTTCCATTCATTATCCAGCTACACAATACTTCATAGACCATCAACTAATGCCTGTTTTCTTCTATAGGCAATGATTACATTCCTAATTTAGTATTTACTTTAGAAAATTCATTTAATTTATGGAAATTTTGATTAGCTAACATCAATCAGATTGAACTAGATTGACTTGTAAAGCACTTGGCGCCTTTCATTTAATTAGTCACCGTTACTCTAGACAAATAAAACATGAAATAGCAAAACGTTTCGTTTGCTTACACTCACGCACATGTGATTCGTTAGATTGAAGTTAGCTAACATTCAATGTACGTCACAATGATAGACGTGTAAATGTGAGATAAAAATATCTGATAAAGTGCGTAGACGAAAAAACGGTCTGAATTTCTTTACAGAGACTGATAATTCTCGAATGATAGAGACAGTTTGTTGACTTAACGCTTTTCTTGCGGGAATTTTTAAGGTTATAAAAATTAGGAACAATTCCATTTTTTTGGTTTTGTAAATGAACGGAATGATAATAGAAACGTTTATCTATTAACGCAAATATTTAACAAAAAGTTTCAAAGTGGTTAGCCAGATTCAAAGAGTCTTTAATTTCAAAAGTTGGACTTTTCGTTCGACATTCAGAACTTTATTACAAACAAGTGAAAGCATTATAGCGGGACTCGACCCATCATTACATACGCTAAAAGCGATTTTTCAGACAAAGGCCTTATATGGTCGAAAAGTGGTCCGGCAGAAGCTGTTTTCAATAGCTTTCGTCCTTAAGACAAACTATGTCAGCCCACTAAATTTCATCAAAATATCTCAAAAATTGCTGGCTACAGGTTGAACACAAGAAAACGAGACGGACTGGCGGGCAGATCAGCTTAGATCGGTAGATCAAAAGCTGAGTTTTGGGCAAATCTTTCTGGATGACAAATGGTGTACGATAAAAACTGGTTATACATTTGCTATTCAAAATATTCTCTATCGCTAGGCAGTGCTTTACTCTCTCTTAAAAATTATATGAATTGCATGCATAGAGAACAACCGGCCTTTTCAGCCTATTCACAATATAATCCATATTCGGACTTCGTCATAAGAACGGAAGTACCGTTTGGACAAGTAATAAATAGTTTATAGAAACCTAACACAAGGGGGAAAGAACAGAGCTCGCAATCTTTTCTTGTTATTTTCATACTGAAAGCTTGCATTATTGTTATAATACTTTTGATTGTCATCTTTATAAAAATTCTAGTTACGTAGTATTTCGCCATCGTTTGCTGTCATCTTATTTTTATAGTATTTGCCCTGATATTTTTATATTTTTGTTTGAAAATATTGTGCGGCAGTAAAATTATCCATCGCATACTCAGCGAGTTGTAAATATTTTTGATCATTTTGGAAGGCAGAGTTGATTAAGCGCAGAACTTAATATGAAACCTTATTTTTAAGGTTTTTTATTAATCTTTGCGATCAGTTAATGTTTAGAAATCCAGCTCTTACCGCAAAGTTTTTGAAACAGCCATTTTCTTCTTCTTGCGCTTATATCTAATAATGTACAAGAAAAATTTATAAATATATCAGGACGTAAACAATAAATGTGCATATGCTATATTTGCAAGGCCTTGTAAATGACGACTTCCTCAGATTCGATCCGTACCGTATATAATTTCTTTTTTATTTATTTTTTTTTTAGTTGCTGTGTAGCGTCTGTTTATTTCTACAAAATTTTATTTATGTTTTTATATTTATCATATTAAAAGAATAAGATCAAGAAAAATAAAAAAAGATACGATTAAATGCCGCACGAGTACGTCATATGCAAATATTTTTTTTAAAGACAATATTTTATGCTTTTTTTTTTATTTTTGTTAAAAAACAATGGGTAACGGTTGTTCAAAGTGTTGCAAATGTAACGATTATAAAAATTATAATGGCACTCTATCATCAACATCATCAGTATATCATAAAAGGTAAATATAATTAATAATATATTCACATCAAATATTACTTGGTAATGATTTCACATTAATTTTTCTCTTGTGGCATAAACATATGAATATAAATTTATGTGAATTTTATTATTTGAAATGTTTCTTATTTATGATTCCTAAATATTTGTCAAAGCAGTTTTTCTTTTCATTGTCGCGTTTCTTATGAACAGATGTTTGCATGTGATTTTCAAAAGTATGCATGAATGTTATAGAAGAAGACAAAAAAAAAAAGCGAGAGTATGGAAGAGAAAAAAAGTATTTGTTTATTTGCGCTTAACACATGCGATTAATGTGCGGTCAGCGTTGCGTATGAGTGATTAATTTTCGCAAGAATTTCTTAAAAAACGCCTTATGCCGTGAATCTTTGCGCTCGGGAAGAAAAAACAATTCATTGCTTTTACATAAATTAGCAAATATTAAAGTGAAAGTACTAAATAATTTAAAAAGGAAAAAAATTAATATAGCGCCACTTATTCACAAGCCTTCACTTATATGAATATCAAATTGGATATAGGAATGCATACGAGTACGCGTTTCTGAAAAGTTCAATATTTTTTAGATTAAATTCTTTAAATTTTCTAGTAAAATTCAAATACATTTAATAAATACTTGTTAAAAAGTCGTATAATTGTAATATGTATTATCTATTATTTTTTGCTTGTTAGCGGGTAGTTTGCGAAGGGCGTTGTGACCGTTGAAGATCATTTTCTGGATCGGTTTTGCTCCGTCGGTAGGCATCCGTCTTTACACATACACTGAGCGACAGTTTGTAGAAAACTTTTTTCCCAAAATTTTGGGAAAAACTGAACGCATCTTGTACGTTTCATAAAGCAACTGATTTCGGTTTGTACGTCTAGTATTAAAATTTTTCCAATTTTTTTTTTTGCTTCTTTTCTTATTTTATGTAGAGCGTCGCAGGAGTCATTTTTAATTAAATATAGAAAACAAATATAATATGAATAAACGAACGGTAGTCTTGTCATAGCAGCGCTAATAAAGGAAAAAACATAATTTAACTTTACTAGAATTAATTTTTCTGTTCAAAACTTCATTATTTTGCTTTATTTTCGTTTTAAGTATTAATATTTAAGCTTTGTTGTGCTACAAACTTTTAATTTTGGTACGAAGTTTTATACAGGGTCCAAAAAACGGCGCCTTCCTTAGAAATCCGTTCAACAAAAAAATCATGTAAAAAATAAATGCGACATATGGTAAATTTGCGGAGATGCTCCACAACTTTAAAAAATCGTGTAAGATGGAAAATATTTTGCTGCAAATATTTTCTCAAAAAACTGTGAAAAACAAGCAATATTGGACTCTATATTACGTATTTATAGAACAAAGGTCATTCATTGTTATTGCAAAATGTAAATTGAAATTAGTGTAATGTGAAAATTCAGCCATAAGTACATGCAATACATACAATGAAATTGAATGAAATTGGGAATAAATGTTAATTCGCCAACCATTCATCGCTATACGACAAGCAGCGCACACGTTTGTAACGAACTGGATGAAAAATGCTACCATCCGTAGATACGTCAAATATGTGTAGCATGACTGTCGGGTTTGATTCAAATTAACAATTTCGTTCGTTATTAACGATCAAGTAGCAGTGGAGCAAGTCACTGACACGAGTGTCGGCATAAATCGGCTGACTTCTGATCACAGCATGCAACAGCAACATCTGCTGCTTTGCTCACTTGATACGCCTATAGCTGCGAACTTATTATAGATGTGCAGGCTCCAGTGTTGAATAAACAGTCAGCTATTCGATGTCTGAATATCCGGGCGCCCATATCATTGTAATTTTCTAGCTCATTCAAGTTTGGAAGGACGACATGCTTAGAAGCTATTGGTTGCCTTTTCAGAGCCTTTAAAATAGCTTGACCGCCGAAGTGAAGTGTAAATTGGACCAAGGCATTCCCTAATTGAAATTTGGGCCGCTATCAGGCAAACAGATAGATAGACAAACAGAGAGACAGATAAGCTTAAATCAGCAGCAGAAAATGGTTCTGACTCGATGTAATTGCAAAAGGATCTATCTTAAGTATTTCTAAATGTTACATACAGCAGCATACTCAATATACGCTTTTACCACAAGTTATGTAGGTTATAATGAGACATAAAAGTAATGTATGCGCGTACATTGTAACCACAAATATAACGTTATTTGTAGACGATGGACTGTAGATACAAAAAACTTTATAGAAATGAAATAATTCATGCACCCGAAATTTTGTAGAAACAAAAAAGACAATGTGACAACAGCGTATGTTATATAGTTTTTATATAATAGAAGAGACCAAACGACGGCTACTAACAAGTCTGCACTTGCAAACCGTAAAGAATTAGGAGTTAAAAAAGAGAAAGTAAAAAGTTAATTGCGCAGTTTCTAATGGAGTTTAATGCTATAAAAAATAAAATAGTCTTCGTCTATAAGAAGTTAATCTCCTCCTTCATGTTTTACATTTAAACTGTCCACAAGGTTTGAAACCATAAGATACGGGTTAAGGATTGGAGGAAAATTTTTATATAAGAAATTGTTGCGCTGAATACAGTTAGATTTTCATGCTACATAATACCTTAAATTTCGGAGGTAATTTTTCAAGACAGTCATTTTTTACAAGCAGAGTGTTTGTTTTGCAGGAGTCGTGGCGATGTTCCTATTAAAAATTCCGATCGTTTTCGTATAACGCAGACGAGCAATGCTGTACAGTTGGCCATTGAGCATGTAACAACTGAAGATGCCGGCCATTACACGCTTTGTGCTCGTACGAAAGGTAACGATGTCATACGTAAGGATGTAGAGCTAGTTATTGAGGACAAATCGACAGGTGATGACCCGCCAATATTTTTAAGACGTTTGGTGGATTTGTCGGTTAAAGTTGGAACGCGTACCAGACTATTAGTTGAGATACGTAGTTCGACAGACGTAAAGGTAAAGGAGTCGCTGAAAATGATTGAAAAATAAAAATTCGAATTATTTTCCCCTCTTTTTTTCGTAGCTAACTTGGTATCGTAAATATCGTCGTATATGTGAAAACGATCGTGTTAAAGAAATCAACGAGGGAAGCTTTCATTATTTGGAAATAAGTCCGGTTATTCTTGAAGATGGTGGTCAATGGATGGTTCATGCTGAGAATTTAAATGGTCGTAATTCTTGCATATGCCATTTAAATATTCTCGTACCGAAGGCTTATAAAGTTCCCGAATTTATAGAGGAGTTGAAAGCTGTTTTAACACAACAGGGTACGGTGGCATTAGAATGCAAAGTGGTAGGTGTACCTACACCTCAGCTGAGATGGTTTAAGGACTCGAAAGAGATTAAGGCTGGTGATATATTTGCTTTGACAGCCAACGCGGATGATCCTACCTCTTTGGGTACATACACATGCGAGGCCGTCAACTGCATGGGCAAAACATATTCTAGTTCCAAAGTTCATGTAGTTGGACGCGGTAGTCGAGAGGATTCCTTGAAATCGGCTGATAGGTATTGTAAATAAAAATGCATTTTATTCTTTTTAAAATTATTTACTCGTTCGGCTCTCTGTCTCTTTGTTGTTTAGCTTACCTTCCGCGGGTCCGCCCCCGATATTTACAAGCGAATTGCGAGATACCAGCGTTAAAATAGGCGACACTCTCATTTTGGGATGCCAAGGTGAGTAGACTCTTTGATTGCTTTGCGCAAATTGGCAATAGGCCAAAAAAGAGTAAACAAATTCAAAATATATACCGATGGTAAGATCCACTGTATCTCTTAAAAAGCCGTTTGTTGTTAATGGCATTTCTTTTGTAAACAAACTTGAACTTATTCGAATTTTTGGAACACTCGAAACTGTGGGGCAGGTCAATAGCAACGTTAGACTGCTTACATCAAAATTAGTATCATTATGAACAAGCAATTATATTTATCCGAATTTTTCAAAGAGCAAATAAAATAAAGTGAGAGCAATGGTAGTTTTATCCTTGGTACAGAATCACCCAAACGCACACACGCATTCACATTCAGTTCTATTGCACGGATGTTTTTTGATCGATCTAGCTGATTGCAGCACCAACCTGTTTGCAAGAATATTCAGTGTGTTTGCCAGATTTAAAGCCGATATCTTAATTTTTACGAGGAGGAGAACAACGTTTACCGTATCTGAGCAGACGGACATGTTTAAATTGATGCGGATTTTGGTATTGATTAAGGATATATTATGCTTTACAGAATACCTAAAGCTTCCTGCTGGGTATTGCAAATATTTCAACAATATCACTATACCTTCAACCTTCGGTGGTAGTAATGTAACAGTTACCGTATTTTTGGGCTAAAAGACGCACCTCTTTATATAGAAGAATGGACTCAAATATTGAATGCGTACTATGGTTCGTAGGTAACACTGAAATAGTTTTTCAATAAATTGTCTCTAAATTTGGGTTTTGTGAGGTCCGACACCAATAGCTTAGAAGAAAGTAATACGAACGGTGACATCTACAAGACGAGTGATAGTGCAAGAGGGAAAATGAACTAAATATTGCTAGTACGTATTATGTTAACAATAACTAAAAATTTTGTTCCGAAAATAACATCAAAATATATTTTTCTAAAAATTAATTTATAAATTTGAAGTGCGTGTTATCGTCCGGTGCGTTTTGTAGTTCGAAAAATACGGTACGCAAATTTGCATCGTATATAACAATTACAATAAAATCGAGAACCATTAAGAATAGTTTTATTCGTACTAGAGCCAACGAGCAAAGACTCCAAAATATTTACAAATATTTTTTTAAACGTAGGCGTGGTAGTATTCGTGGTTAGTTTGTGTCTATCTCTATCTCACATCTCTATCTCTAATACCTTTTAAAGTTTTACAGCGCTGGGAGCGAATTTGTTGGCAAATCTGTAGTTGTTCCCCAATAGCAAAATTTTATGGTTTTAGATTTCATTGATAATATCGCATTCAATTTCAAAAGCACATCACCAATTAATCAAAAAATATTTAAAGCGTACAGAAAAAAATCATTTGCTGGCATTAAATAGCGTTTAACACTAAAGCTACCGACATTCCATGTATACCTATTTCTACCGTGAGCGGTCAAATGACCGCGTCAAAAAAACATATTTAAAGTAGATAGTAAACAAAATATTTTTCTGATGCTACATTAAAAATTCGTTTCCCGCTTTTCGATGTTGTATGTTTTATTTACTTTTATGCATTTTCATCACATTTTTTACAAATTACAGCATTTTGTGTTGCACATTTTCCACATACGTATTTTTTACATTTTATACAAATTTTGTTTGTTTTGTTGACTTTACAATATCTTATCTGACAAGATCTCCGTTCAGAAGAAACAGTGTTTGTGTTTATTATTGTTTTTGATGAGCATTCTTGGCTTATTTCTTTTTCTTTCTGATATTCGGTCCCAAGTTCTTCTGCCAACTGAAACAAAAACTCTTGCCTCGATATATCCTCACCCGTCGTTTCTTTATATAAAATCCAAGAGTTTATCCCGGCTAAATCTAAAATATTGAAAAAGACCTGTAAAGGCCATCTTTGAGATTTAGATGTTACACTATATTTTCTGGCCAATTGGTCGGTTACATCTACACCGAATTTTGTACTATTATAAACTCTAATTGTCTCTGGTGTACGGGTGTCATTTTTTTCAATTTCAACGGATGAATGCATTGAACTAAGTATCAATACTTTTTTATTTGGTTTAGCTTTATAAATTGTAAGAATAAAGTCTTTCGATTTGTATAATATTGTTGAGAAGCGTGTCATACTATCCTTTGTCTGTCTCGCTAATTTTGGTAGCTCTCTTTTATTTCTCCGGATAGTTCCATAAACAGTAGTTCTTTTTGCTAGAAGTTTACTCGCTAATGATGCGCTTGTAAAAATATTGTCAATTGTTAGATTTCTCCCATGACCAGTATATGCTTCTGTCAATTTCAGAGTTACAAACTCTCCAACTGGGATTGATGATTCTCTCCCTTCATCTTTTCCCAAATAAGGAAAGCCGTTTACTATATACTTACTTGCTACATCGGAAGCTAACCACAATTTTATATCAAATTTGTCCGGTTTGTTGGGCATATATTGAGTAAATCTACAACGTGCTTTTGTAGGAAACAATTGTTCATCTATAGTAAGATATGCTCCTGGTTTATAACAGTTTTGGCTGTTTTCGATAAAGTTATACCAAACTTGAGAAATCAATGCGAACTTATCGTTTTGTAAGCTTTGACTTCGTTGATTTTTATTGTCAAATCGAATAAATCTCATGATTTCTGCGAAGTCATTTCGACTCATAGTTGTCGAGAAAAAACGACGGACCCCATTTCGTGTTCCATAAATATGATAAATTAATGTTTTAAGCCTCATATGCGCCGCGTGCATATAGAAGTCCAATAAATGCATATAATTTTGCAATAGATAAATTCCATTTCGTTTTCAACACTCGAAAAGCCTCTGATTCCGTATATTCTCTTACATGTTCAATCATTTTATGATCAATAATCAAAGAAAATGCTGAAAATGCTCTGCCCTTCACAATATTTCGTTTAACGTATCCTGTCGGTCCTGATATTTCCTTGAAATAAATCGATGTTCTTCCACTGTTAGACCCTTCTTTTATTTTTTTCCAAACAGTTCCGTCTACAGCATTTTCAATTTCTTCCTCATTTGTACTTTCGGAACTAACTATAAATGTTTTTCTTTCCTGTCGTCTTCGTATATTCAAATTTTTCTCTTCGTCCGTATCACTGTCAAATAAGTCACAATAATTTTCTGCAGTACCATCATCAATATCGTAAACTTCTTGATCATCTTCCGAACAATCCTTGTCGATGTTATTTGTTTTGTCTAATAAATTGATATTCCACGAATGTCGGACAGATTGATTAGATTGTAGATTGTCTACAATTACATTGTAGACCCGTAAAACAATTTCAAGAAAGCGATTATCGAAGAATATAGTCGTAAATAACATAAATTTTTCAAGCGGTCAAATGACCGCGCCCGGTCGACTAGACATGGTATAATTTTTTTTCGGAAAATACACATTAAAAAAAGTTGTAAATATTGAAAAATTGTTTGTATGTATATTTTAGGAAAAGTCAATAAAATACATGATGATACAATAACGTTTTATGCGAGAAATTTTAAACGAAAGTTTAAAAACGGTAATTTGACCGCGCGCGGTACGTTTAGTGTTAATAATTACAACAACAGACAGATTTTGCCGATTATTATGATGGCAAGCAATTTCTGTCTACGGCAAATCTGGTATTTCGAAAGAGGTGTTCCTGGAGAGAGGGGTGGAAAGACGTTATAAAAATCTTCATTGGTCTCTTGGGTTGCAATTATATATATATATATGTGGTTTTACGTACGTATATGCATGGGTCAGGAAATGACTATTGGCGTCCATTTTACGGCATTTACGGTTCTCTTGTTTCCCGAAAAGCCTCCAATTCTTTACTCTCTTTCTTACTATCGCCATGTCGTCTTTTGTAGTGTCTCACAAGAAACTCTCGTGACTCTCAAGTTACATAGATAACTTACGAGGTGATTTTGTCGCAGGTGCTGGTCGCCGTCATCCTTGTTGGTAAAGCGCTTCAAACACATAGTGTATTCTTGTACTGTCCGCTCTTTCTCCTATTAATGCCGTTCATATTGTGGAAATATATGTATATTGTTTTCTAAATATTGTTAAGATATTTCCCTTTTCTAACATACAATCTGTATCACTTGTTTTCAAGGGAAACACACTTCACAATTCTTTTATTTACAATTATATTCCTTATTCATAATTTATTTTGGCAGCATTTCCGACTCAAATGTTCTTGTCCAACTCATTCTGCGTTTCGCAAATAGTCTATTTACATACATTTTTACAAGCATGTTCATGGCTTAGTTTTTAGTCCGTTAACCTGGTTTTCCGGTAATCGACTTCCGGTAATCGTTTTCGCGAATGTGCACTAGGTTTTTCCCTGTCTGCTTTTTCGCTAACCTTTTTCATCGGCCGGCACCTGCATGACACGCCGCGAAGGTGCATTTGGTTTTTCCCTTGCTAGGCAATTTATTATCTGGAAAAATTAATTATCCGAAATGAGCTGGATTTGGGATTTCCGCAACAATATATATGTGATTTTTTTATATTTATATATTGTAAAATATGTAAGAAAATAAAACATATTTACATATATTTATTTAAAATGTAAATTTTTAAAACAGCTAATAATAGTTAGTATGTTGTGTTTGAAATCTTTAGATTGAGATAAATGACATGCAATATTTAACACGTTAAGGACGGCGTGTACCACCGGTGGCTCACAAGCGAATGCTTATGCGAATTAGCAAAAACTGCGCCGTCCTTAAATAGGCACGTTTAGAACGTTCTTTAGAAGTAGGGGTTTTAGTACGCGTGATCGTTTTTGTTGTTTGCCATTTAGAACATTAATAGACGTCTGTAAATTAAGGGGTGATATGCCTATTGTAGGCAGGTCACATTCATTATCAGTTTTGACAAACAAACTAAGGGATAAAGGTCAATCAATTTAGAATTTTCATACCCTATGCGAACTTCTATTCCGAGTGTTGCAAGCGGAATGTCATATTGTTAAATTACGTAAATGAAGAAAAGAATGTAAAATGTAGTATTTGGCACTAAATTACTATTTCTCTTTTTTTCTTTTATTAGTGGTTGTTCCCCCCTGGCCTAAGAACGTAGTTTGGTATAATAAGAATGGCCGCGTTGACATAGATGAGCGTTACAAATTGATTGAAGATGGCTTGGGCGTATATATGGCAGAAGTTAAACCTTCAGCCTCTTGCGATGAAGGGGAATGGAAATGCGTAGTCACCAATGATGATGGGGCTGTCGGTATATCAACTTGCCTTGTAAACATGGAAAGTAGGTTACAATACAATGATAATTTTATTTAGATATATCATATTACCGTGAGATATTGATTTCAGTTCCCAAAAACTACCGTAAGCCACGGTTTATGGAAACTTTACGTGCTGTATTGACGGACGAAGGTTTAGTATCCTTTGAGTGCAAAGTTGTCGGTTTTCCTGCTCCGATTCTCAAATGGTTTAAAGATGGTCAAGAGCTGAAGCCTGGTGATGTCTATCAGTTAACTGGGACAAATTCACTTGGAACGTATTGCTGTATAGCTAAAAATTGCATGGGTGAAACTAGCAGTATGGCTGTCTTGACAATAGAGGATATACAAAATCAGCTTAGTGAAGAAGAACGTCTAGTGTTCGCCAACAAAAATCAGCCACCAAAATTTTTATTAGGCTTGAAAAGTCAAGAGGCGAAAATTAATGAAGCGTTTCAGTTTACGGTTAAGATTGAGGCAACACCAGATCCTTTGTTAACTTGGTTTCGAGATGAATTGCCAATACAAAGTAATGAACGTTATAATCACTATCGCGGAGATAGACAATATTGGCATTTGGACGTACGTTGTTTGGAAATTGTTGACCAAGCCGAATGGAAATGCGTTGTGGTCAATGATTTTGGTACTTCCGTCACCTCTTGTTTTCTAAAATTGCAAGTTCCTCGTCATTATAAAAAGCCTAGATTTTTAGAATGTTTACGAGCCGTGCTTACTGAAGAAGGTGCTGTTAACTTAGAATGCAAAGTGATAGGTGTGCCTCAGCCTGTTTTAAAGTGGTATAAGGATGGAGTAGAGTTAAAGCCAGGTGACATCCACAAAATCATTTCGGGGCAAGATGGTACCTGTTGCCTTGGCACTTACACATGTGAAGCTCGCAATTGCATGGGTGTGATGGCTAGTTCTGCTTCTTTATTGGGCTTTGAAGATGATTACAGTAAACAGGATTGTGGAAAACAGCACGAACTACAGCGTAACTTTTCATTATCCACTATACAGGAAGAACGCACCTCCCAATTATATGAAACTCCGGCCGGCGATATAACAATTACTGAACGTGGGGATGTATCATTTTCATTAGAAGGTAAAGAAGTCTCTGTCTCACTTTATGAGACCCCCGATTTGACAGAAGAAGAAGCCTTGAAAATTGTAGAGATGTACGCCGATCAATTGTCGGAGCACGTAACCGAACAAAATATTGTCGAATTACCTCCATTGCGTTTTGTAAAAGAAACTGCACAATCTGGCAAGCTGCTAATGGAGGCTACGGTTATTGACATATCTCCTGAATATTTTACTCATGAAGAGGATTTACGTACTGAAGCGGGCATGTCTGATATTTCCATAAATGAATTAACAGTCCATGGTTTTTCAGCTCAGGAATTGAACAACTTAGATCGTGAAACTGAGGATTATGCCAAAAAATCATTTGAAAAAATGGAAGAGGAGCTCTCATTAACAACTCCGGATAGAAAACGTAAGAAATCTAAGGCCACTGAAACTGAAGAGTTCTTTAGTTTGTCGAAAGCAACCATGTCGCCGAATCAAAATCACGAAGACGAAGAGGCGGATGATAGTTCGGAGTTGCAAACTTTTGCGAGCGCTCGAATGGAATTGGGTAAAGAAGATGTGGGTGAGCAACCTTTAAAGAAAAAAAGCAGAAAGTCTGATAGCGATTCGTCGAAAACTAATGAAACTGAAACAAAACTTATAGATATTTCGGGCGCTGTTGGCGACGGCCTTATGGTTTTGCCTGATAAACTGGCAAAAAAAGTAATTACTAATGAACAGGAAATTGCAGATAATGTTAGACGTTTGCTGCCTTTGGCTAAAATGTTGAAAATTTTGGATGCTCACATGTGCGCCGTGGAAGCAGAAGTGATTTCGCAATCGGTGATGATGATGACAGCTTCCTCGGCTGATCAAAGTATAGCTATTATCAAGAACATCGGAGAGCCTTTGCAACAAATACAGAGTAAATTGAAAGTGTATTCAGGCGAAACTCCAATAGAATCATTGTTTGAAACGATGAAAGAGGACATACGATGTTTGCATATAGGACTGCAGGTCGTAGAGAAATGTGTTGAGATTGATGAGCGAGGCACTACTCTTATACAAAGAACTAGTGTGTGTATAATCGATAGCTTAGCGGATCATATAATTAAAACTTTGGACGAACTGAAAACGATAGCGAATTCTTTTGAAGGGGACAGTTTAAAATCGCATCTACTTTTAACAACCGACGACATACGGCAGGGTCTTGAAATTACTAAAGGTACCATAAAATCGCAGGCTCTCTTGCAAGAGGCTCAAGAACTGGAAGCTAATAAACACTTTACAGAAGCTGTGGCTAAACTGCAGGAACTTCCAGAGCCTTTGCCTTTTGAAAAAGTACCACAGGTTGATTTACCTCCACAGGCTGAGTCTGTGAAATTAATATGCCAGCCTGTGTGGGAAATACAACAGGCCTTGGAAAAGGTGGAGAATGAGTTATCCTTGGAGGAAACCGATGACGGCATTTATTGTAAAGTACATCAAAAGATTGTGGATAATTTTCTAGAACCTTTCCAGCATTTGCAGCAAGTTTTGCAGGTGATTGAGCAGCGAGCGGAAACCTTAACTGGTACTGAACAAAAAATTAATTTAGCTATTTTGGATATTGTAACTCCACCGTTATTTGAGTTGAAAAAAGGCTTAGAAGTGATAAATGCTCAGCCTTCCAACGATGTTGAGGGCGGAAAGTTGACAGTTAATACAGTGGAATCCATGGTACCGCCTTTGCAAGAAATACAAAACGGCTTAGCTCAGTTAAGTCAAGATGTACTAACCGGAGGTCAGGTAACAGAAGACTTGGCTTTGGATTCAGAAGAGGTAAACAAACTCTTACAATCCTTGGCTCAAGCTGTTCTCCACTTGGAGTCTAATATTGAGCAGATACCCTGCAAAATACCACAACAAATTCCAGTTAAGTTATTAACGCTTAAAGAGCATATTTCCACCCTTATAGAGCAGATTGTCACTCAAGGTGTCAATAAGTTTCACATTATATTGTTAGGAAACATAAAAAGACCCATCGATGAATTAAATTATTGTATGCGGCAAATTGAACAAAAATCCATAACGGGTTCGTTGGGTGATTTAGTGGACCCTCTTCGAAGTTTGGATGCCAAAATTAAGCAAAGTAAAGACATTCTTTGCATACTCCCCGTTAACGCTCGAGACGATTTATTAGGTATTTTACATGATGTTCAACAACTTCTCAAGACGATCGAAATCGACATTGATGAATATGAATTTAGGATGCAGCAAAAAGAAATTGAGTCAGAGAGACAAGAATCTGATGCCGACCAGCTGCAAGAAACCATGGAATGGCGTTTTGTTCAGGAAAAGTACAGTAAACAATTGCAAAAGTTGACGAAAATTATAAGAGAAGTAAGCAAACTCGAGTTTATTGATAATAAGCTGAGAGCTGCATTCAATGATTTAATACCCCCTTGCGGAAAGATAATTGTTGAATTGAGAAATATGCCTGATTGTCAGGTATTCGCGCAAAACATTGTAAGGAGAACAGCCGATAGTATACAAAAAATAAACGCTTGCCTGCTCCAGTTAGGCGAAACCACAAATAAGTCGCAGTGTAATAACTTGTTGAATTCCGTAGTACGTAATTATTTCCAAGAACTTAAGTTGGCCATAGATCAAAGCGAAGACCAAACGGCAACAGTGCAAACTTTACAGTTGGCAGAAGCCTTTAATAATATGCTAAATATTGTCGAAAATATAGTTCAACTATGCGGAGAAGATGCTATCGACGATTTATCCACGTTGGAGGACGTTTCAGCTTTAAAATCAAACGCGGAATCTTTACCAGTTGAAAACTCTGTGACTTGGAAAACTGCGACCCTGGAGGAGAGACGAGTTCAAGCTGAACAATTGCTAGGGCAGCTTAAGCAGGATATTGGTACAGTTTTAGCTCATTGCAGCGAGTTCGACTTGGGCTGCGTGCAAACTGAAACTATGCAAGAGGTAAAAGCTGCTGTTGAAAAAATTCATGATTTTAAGGAATGCTTGCAAAATACTCTCTCAATGAACGTAATGGAGTATTCGCCTACGGGAAGTGATTTACGTACCATGGCCGAGGCGGTATATAGTTTAGAAAGTTGTGCTTTGCAGATACATGAACATCTGGAGCAGGGAATTGTTACTGATACGAGTGACTTGGAAGTAAACGAACTTCGAACGATAGCAGAACCTTTGCAAGAATTGGTTCATGCTGTCAAAGTATTTTACACTCAAGAATTTGATCAAGTTTCAAGCATAGGCACGCTTACTCAAATATCTATGACTAGCGCTAGTGTGATGCAAAGTTTAAAGCCCTTCGTACTCTCAGTTCATGAAAACCATGCCATAGAAACTTTAGAATCAATTGCAAATCAGATAAGTTTGACGCATCTTAAACAATTCGTTCAGCCTTTACGCGAGCTGGAGAAAGCACTAATTATGCAGGAAGACAATACATGCTTATCACAAATAGTGGCTCTGCCAGAGCAAAAGCAACAAGATTTGAGAGCTTGGGCAAAGCCGCTTTTATGCTTGAAAGGGTCAATAGTTCAAGTAAAAGAAGAGCTTGCTTTGAGCACTTTAGAGGAATGTCCGGAATTCAAAGTTATTGCCCAAAAATCTCCGGTCCTATTTAATCTTTTGAAATATTGTGAAACTATGAATGCAGATTTCTTGGAACAATTTGAAGAATTATCATCGGAAAATCTCTCAATATTAAAAACATATGCCGAACCTCAAATCGTACGAAGTATTGACGAAAAGTTGATAATAAAAGAAATGCCTCAAATCGAAATATTCGATATGCGTAAGTGTGTGACAGAAAGCATTCAGCTTTTAAGCAAAGCTTTATTGAAGACCGCAGCTATACAGACTGCAGAGGTTTATGAATTGAATTTAATTACAGAACGGCTTCTAACCGATTTACAAACTCTGAGTAAACAAAAGGAGACGGAATCTGTTGAATTTATTCAATTACGAAATTGTTTAGCGAAAACTATGTTTAAGTTAAAGGAATGTTTAGTACATACATACGAAGCAGATGTCGAAGTTGCCGTGGAAGATATTGAGAAAATATTTGAAGATCTTTTACAAGTTATACCAAATCTCGAAAAACAGTTGGCTTTAGAAATGAAGGAGAAAATTGCATTAAGCTGTTCCGAATTTATTACTGTCATTCATCGAAGCGAATATGAAAGCTTGTTATTGTTAGCCGAACCAATAAGAAATCTGCTCGACTCTTTGACTTTGCTCAATGATCATAACGAAGTGGATATCGAAAAATCATCGCCGCTTTTTCAGAAAATTCAAATGCAGTTAGTTAGAATTGTTCAAATCATTAACAATGGTGACTGTCTAATTGAATTTTGTCAAGATTTAAAACCTGCTTTACTAAATTTGGCAAATAACCTGAATTCTATTAAGGATTTCCTAGAGAAGAATGATGGAAATATAAGGGTGATTGAATTATTACAAGAGTTGGACTATTTTGCCACGGATCTTAAAGAAGTCTCTTGCAGTCTTGAGAACAATAATCGCAAAAATTATTTAATACAGGAGACATCAGCAACTAAATCATTCTTAATGGCTTTAGAACAAGGGCTCACTGAAAATAATCCGTTGGTGCACATCTTTCTAGAAAAGCATTACGAGGACGTCCAACAATTAGAAGCAGCTCTAAAAACTGTAGAATGTGACATCATACCACGCGTTGAACGTTCTCAGATGATTTGGCTGGCAGAGGAGCTGGAGTCAATTGAAGCCATAGGAAAATTACTGGATAATCTTCAAGAGAATATGAAGATATTAAGTCAGGAATTGGTAGAACTTCCAAAAGACAAGGCGGTATTTACAGCCGAGGTGGCTGAAGAGATTTCCGAAACTAAACGCCAACCGCTTCCAGAGGCAGAAAGACAGGACACCGTCGAATTTATTAAGATTCCTATTGTGGAAGAATGTGTTAATTTTATTTTTAAAGCTTTAAAGGAAGATAAACACTTGCAAACTTTGGAAGCTGATATGCAAGAAGCTCTTAGCTCTAAAGATGATAATCGCAGAACTGAAAGTATTTTCCGTATAAGAGAACACATCGTCCATACCTACGATTCAAGTGTTAATAAGCATTTGGAAAATTTAATTGATTCATTGCTGGAATGTAATCCAAATTTATTGGAGTTAATAAATGCTCGGTATTGTTTAGTTATAAAGGAAAACATCGAATCATTACAAGCCGATATTAAAGCCTTAGCCAACGAACCATGCCAATCAAAACTATGCTCCGTGCACGAAAAATTGCTCAGCCTAGCAGAGATTTCCGATCGTTTAAAACCTTATAGAGACATAGAAAATTCATCACAGAAAATAGTTGAATTGCAAAAATATTTAATGGAGATTTTCTGTACATTTGACGATTTGTTAGAAATATCCGACGATGATTTAACTCCTGCTATCGAAATTGTTAAGGCTTTGGCTTTACGTCAGTACGATGAAAATGAAAAATCAAAAGCGGGTATCAAAACCGCGAAGGTATTTGAGGATATTCTTCATTTATGTGCTGAGCTAAAAGTGACTGTAGAGAAAGTCAAGGTAAAGCTTGCAGATTCTGCCTCAATTAGACAAATACCTGAAGCTGCTGAAACGAAATCAAAGGCTGCGGCTCCCGACTTGAAAGCAAGGGAAATCGAAGAAAAGCAGTCTGAAGCCATGATAAAAAAAATTGATAAAAAAGAAACAGTAGCAAAGCCACTGAGACCAGAAGTCAGCGAAATTAAAGCAGAAAAAGTTGAAAAAAAAGTGATCGATTCCACTGTAAAGACAATCGAGAAGAAAAAGATCGAAGAGATGCAACTGAAAGCAGAGGTATCCGAAGTCACGGCTGAAAAGATTGAGAAACAAGAAGTAAGTGTTGACGCTAAAAAACTTGAGCATATGGCGGTTGAGGCAACGAAAATTAAGGGTAAAGTTTCTGAGGTGAAAGCGGAGAAAATCGAAGAGAAGCAGTCTGAAGCTGTGGTGAAAGAAGTTGATAAAAAAGAAATAGAAGCAAAAGATCTGAAAGCGGAGATCAGCGAAATTAAAGCAGGAAGAGTTGAAGAGAAAATGATGGATTCTACTGTAAAGACAATCGAGCAGAAAAAAATCGAAGAGATGAAATTGAAAGCGGATGTGCCTGTATTCACTCCTGAAAAGATTAAGGAAGAAGAAGTCAGTGTTGAAATTGAGGAGGTTGAGGCAACCAAATCGATGGCTAAAGTCTCTGGAGTGAAAGCAGAGAAACTCGAAGAGAAGCAGTCTGAAGCTATAATGAAAAAAATTGATATAAAAGAAACAGAAGCAAAAGAGCTGAAAGCGGAAGTCAGCGAAATTACAGCAGAAAAAGTTGAAAAGAAAGTGATCGATTCCGCTGTAAAGACAACCGAGCAGAAGAAGATCGAAGAGATGAAATTGAAAGCGGAGGTATCTGAAGTCACGCCTGAAAAGATTGAGAAACAAGAAGTAAGTGTTGACACTAAGAAACTTGAGTATATGGAAGTTGAGGCAACAAAATCGATGGCTAAAGTTTCTGAGGTGAGAGTGGAGAAAATCGAAGAAAAGCAGTCTGAAGCCGTGATGAAAAAATTTGATAAAAAAGAAACAGAAGCAAAAGAACTGAAAGCGGAAGTGAGCGAAATTACAGCAGAAAAAGTTGAAAAGAAAGTGATCGATTCCGCTGTAAAGACAACCGAGCAGAAGAAGATCGAAGAGACGAAATTGAAAGCGGAGGTATCTGAAGTCACGCCTGAAAAGATTGAGAAACAAGAAGTAAGTGTTGACACTAAGACACTTGAGCTTATGGAAGTTGAGGCAACCAAATCGATGGCTAAAGTTTCTGAGGTGAGAGTGGAGAAAATCGTAGAAAAGCAGTCTGAAGCCGTGATGAAAAAATTTGATAAAAAAGAAACAGAAGCAAAAGAACTGAAAGCGGAAGTGAGCGAAATTACAGCAGAAAAAGTTGAAAAGAAAGTGATCAATTCCGCTGTAAAGACAACCGGGCAGAAGAAGATTGAAGAGATGAAATTGAAAGCGGAGGTATCTGAAGTCACGCCTGAAAAGATTGAGAAACAAGAAGTAAGTGTTGACGCTAAGAAACTTGAGTATATGGAAGTTGAGGCAACAAAATCGATGGCTAAAGTTTCTGAGTTGAAAGTGGAGAAAATCGAAGCGACGCAGCCTGAAACTATAATGAAAAAAATTGATATAAAAGAAACAGAAGCAAAAGAACTGAAAGCGGAAGTGAGCGAAATTACAGCAGAAAAAGTTGAAAAGAAAGTGATCGATTCCACTGTAAAGACAATCGCGCAGAAGAAGATCGAAGAGATGAAATTGAAAGCGGAGGTATCCGAAGTCACGCCTGAAAAGATTGAGAAACAAGAAGTTAGTGTTGACATTAAGAAAGTTAGACATATGGCGGTTGAGGCAACCGAAGTGAAGGGTAAAGCCACTGAGGTGAAAGCGGAGAAAATCGAGGAGAAGCAGTCTGAAGTTGTGGTGAAAGAAGTTGATAAAAAAGAAATAAAAGCAAAAGAACTGAACAGCGAAATTAAAGCAGATAAGGTTGAAGGAAAAATGAGCGAATCCACTGTAAAGACATTCGAGCTGGAAAACCTCAAAGAGATGAAATTGAAAGCGGAAGTATTTGAAATCGTACCTGAGAAGAATAAGGAAGAGGGAGTCAGTGTGGAAGCTAAGAAGGTTGAGCATACGAGGGTTGAAGCAATCAATTCAGAGGCTAAAGTCCGTCAAGTGGAAGAAGAAAATATCGAAGAGAAGCAGTTGGAAAAAGTTAAAGGGAATAAGTACAAGGAAAACAAAGAAATGCGTAATGCCAAGAGACCACCGAGAGTTGACGTGAAACTTACAAATCGTAATTCGTCGGTTGGAAGCGACATAAAGTTGACTTGCAGCATTTTAGGCAATGATTTGCAAATTCTCTGGTTCAAGGAGAACAAGCGGCTCGAAAATAATTCGAAATACAAAATTTTATTTATGGACGGTTTGTCGTGTCTTGAAATTAAATCAGCTGATTGTAATGATGCAGCAGTATACAGGTGTGTGGCCAACAATCGGAACGGTGAAGTTGAAACAAGTTGCCTCGTGACAATATATGATGTACCTACCAACAAATTTGGCACACCGCCAATTTTCACTCGTAATATAAGAGGTATGTACACTTGCTTCATGTTTTGTTGATCTCATTGATTTACAATTTTATATCATTAAGTAGCCCATATATAATTGAAAATAATGTGCTGCTAGGTGAAAGAGTATTTACTTTATTTAATGTGTGGGGGGTGTAGAGTATTTTGCTGTTCGCATTTTATTTCCTTACGCTTTACCACTTATTTTTAGGAATAAGTGCATTAACAGCACATTCAAAATTATTTTAAGCGTCTTAATGGCTAATCCTAACATTTCCTCTTAAAAGTTTCCAAAGATTTAATTAGTGTATCGCTAAAAGGTTTACACTTTAGTCCACAGATCAGGTAGGTAAAGACTTATTTGCTTTTGTAATGCTGATGAAATTGAATCTACTTTTATGCAAAATGGCTATTCCAAGATTTAAGGCCAAGGCAATTTCTTGTGACAAATTATCGCCACGAAAATGCTTTTTATTTTTATTTAATTTTTATCCGTAATCAGCAATTGGTGGTATGTTGACTGCGTTTGGTTACGATTTCTTTTTATTTCTTCGTCTTTATTTTTATTTTATTTAATTAATCAAAATAAAAGGTGAGTTTAGTTGATGAGTTCAAATCGTGTGTTTGCTCGTTATCTTGTTTATTTATTTTATTTTTATGTAATTAAAATTACTGCCGAGTCCGTGACAATAAATTAATTATAGATTTTATTTTATTCTATTTTATTTTTTTTTTAATTTTTTTTTTTTTTGGCAAAAAGCACAAGTAGATCAAATCCGTTTTACAAATCATTTGAAATTTTCTTTCGAAACGGGCGGTTGCTTAAGTTCGTACAGAGCAGTCGAAATATTTACGTGGCGGCGAGCGGACCGATCACGTCCTTTATATCGCTGGCATATACGAACTGTTACAGCCTAAATAATAAATAGTAAATAAAATCGAAAACGGGAAGAGTGTGAAATTATAAAATTTAATATCGACATTTTACGAATTAGAAAAAAAAAAGATAATTATAAAGTGACCTCGTGATTTTTTTTTAAAGAGAAATTTTTTACTATGGGTGAAACAGAGGGTGAAACGACAGCAGCTGATGCTCCTTCGGAGGATCGGGAATCTGTTCCGCCTCAGGATACCCTGCAGGTGCCTACTCAAAAACGCAGAAAATTAAAATCTCCCACGCCTTTGCGCGGACGCAGCGCTACTCCAATACACGGTCGTAGCCAAACTCCTTTTAGTCTTTATATGATAAGGCGTAGTGCTACTCCTTCAACATGGCGGAGTATCACACCGTTTTTGAAACGCGAAGAAAAGGAGAAAACTCCTTTCGAGCTGGGTCGCGACATATTGACCCAGATTACTTGCAATAAGGCAGTTTTTGATCGCGCTTTAATTATGGATATATCTGAACCTGAAGAAACGCAAAAGCCCGTGCGTTACATAACTTCTGATATGTCAGTTATTGATCGTGCGGCCGTTATGGACGTGTCTAATGTTGAAGTTATCTACGTGGTGGAAGAATACGAAGAATACGAAGAGGAAGAAGAAGTAAAAGAAGAAGTAAAGCCTAAGAAAAAGGGTAAAGGCAAAAAGGGACGTGTTGGACGTAAATCTGCCGATAAAGAGCAAAGTCCTGGGGGAGGCGGAGAAGGCGAAACTGGCGAGGGGGGTGATGAAGGTAGTCGTGAGAGATCTGAAGATCGCGAAGAAAGCGCTGATTTCGACGAATTCGACGAACCAAGCAAAAAGGGAAAAAAGAAGGGTGGTGCAAAGAAAAAGGAGAAGAAGGAAAAGTCTCCCAGCCCAAAGCTGACCTTGAAACTGGAAATAGGAGGTGGTCAAAAGGCAAGCAAAAAAATGTTTGAAGACAAAGACAAGCAAAGTCAGGATCAGAAGGCAACTGCGAAACCACCCCCAAAGAAAAGCAAGCTTGTTCTGCAAATGGAAGAACAAGCTAAAGCTGCGGCAAAAGCTGCTGAAGACGCAGCTAAACAAACATCGAAACCTAAAAGCGAGACTTTCGAGGAAAGACAGAAGCGTCTTAAAGCCGAAAAAGAGGAGCAAGAACGTTTAGAAGCTGAACAAAGGGCACTAGAAGAAGAGCTGCGCGCACAGCAGGAGGCGGAATTAGCCGAAGACGACGAAGAAGAAGGTGGCGAAGAGGGTGATAGTGATGCTGAGGGTGAATATGCCAGTTCCCGGTATGAAGAAGACGGTGGTGAATCGAGATACGATTCATCACGTTATGAAGACGAAGAAGCCGAAGAAGCTGATGAGGTTGGAGATTTGCCAGGCGATGCTCGACGTGGTAGTGACGAATCGGAAGGCTTCACAAGACCAGATCCTTATGATGAAGAGCGTTGGCAACAAATCGCTGAAGAGGAAGGCGAGGAATTCATGCAACAATTGCGTAAATACAGTCTAGCCATACGAAAAAGTGAAAAACAACGCGACGAAGAATGGCAAAGAAGACGTGAACAACTACGCTTACCCCATTTTGTTGTGTTTCTATCTGATCGCACTGTGGAAGCGGGTCAAAAAGTGCGTTTGACATGTGCCATAGGTGGACCGGAATTATCGGTGAAATGGTTCAAGGATGGGCGCCAATTAGAACGTGACGCCACTCATCGCATTATCAACAACAATAACATTATAATATTAGAGGTGATAAATACTACGATATTAGATTCTGGGGAGTATTCCTGTGTCATTGCAAATATGAACGACGAAGTTACCTCATCTTGTTTCGTAACTATTTACGAAGTTTTTAAAGACGAGCCCGCACCGCCCACCTTTAAACTAGTTAAAGGTAAAAGTATACAAAATTATCCAATGTATGCTATACTAGTAATTGCAAACTTCTTCCTTTAATTAATTAGAATATTACCACTTACGTGACGACGAACTAACTATTGAAATGCATATCCATGGTGTACCACGACCGGTGGTTACATGGTGGAGGGGTTCCTTTGAAGTGAAGCCTAATTTTAAATTTACGAGACTGGAGGAGGCTCATGGCGTATATAAACTGCTCATTTATAAACCTAATAACCGTGACAGCGGTACTTACACTTGCAAGGCTATTAACTCATGCGGAGAGGCCCAAATGCGACACACTATTGAGGTGGCGAAAAATTTGAACTATCATGTTCACGGTATATTCCATGCTCGGGACCGTCTGCAGCAAGATAAGGAGAAAACCGCCAAAAAAGCTATGGAGGAAGCCATGAAATCCAAAGAAGCATCGGATAAAAAGCGCGCAGTGGTCGAAGTAGCCCCACGTGCAGCTCGTAGCTCGCCAGAGCCTTTAGTATCGCCTAAGCAGAAACTCAAATTTGCGACACAGCTGCGCGATCGCATGTCGTTGGAAGGAAGCACTGTTAAGTTTATTTGCAATGTGATCGGTCCAAATCCAACATGTCGGTGGATGAAAGATGACAATGCAGTTAAGTTCAGCGAAAATGTGAAAAATTTCTCAGAGGAAGGAAAGCCAATACTCGAACTAAGAAATGTCACTGCGGATTCGTCGGGCGTTTATAAGTGCATTGCCAAAAATGATTACAGTGAAATTGAAACATCTTGCTATTTCAAGGTATACGCTGCGCAAGCTGAAGGCGATGAGAGTGAACCTATTTTCGCACTACCACTTAGAGGTACGATTGATTGGTGAAGAGTGCGAGGTATCATGTCGTTGTCCTATGTGCTTGTTACGTCTACATTATTTTCTATAGAAAAACTTTAAAAGTGGTCACGTAAATGTTCTACTGATGCGTTTCTTCTGTGCTTGTATTTTCATTATTGACGGTTCAAAAATAGAATTTGTGTACATGTGTGTTTCTTTGATATTTTGTCCGTAATTAAATGGCAATTGACAATTGAATTTACTTCATTCTCAGATGTTTATCATTCGTCCCAAAACGATTTGGTACTTGATACAAAAGTACGCGGCAATCCACGACCGAGCATTACTTGGTTAAAAGATCGTGTACCAGTCGTGCTTGATGGTCGTATTGTACAAATTGAACATTTGGACGGTATATGTGAGTTGATCATTAATAAGCCCACACCTAGTGACAACGGTACTTACATTTGTGTCGCTCAAAACAAATTGGGGACACAAGAAGCACAACATTCTGTTGTAGTCGATGTAGTGCAAACATCAAGGCGTTCTAGCACTCAATCGGCAATAATGAGTGATTCAAGCGATAGCAAAAGCAAAGGTGAAAGGCCGTCGAAAGTGCCGAAGGGCAAAAAAAAAGAGGATGAAGGCGAGGCGGTCGCTTATGAACGACGCAGCAAAATGCCGGAAGTCAATCCGAAACAACAACTTTATTTTAACGCCATCGTGTCGAATCGCTATGTTACCGAGGGTTCTAAAGTTAAATTGCAAGCAGTTGTGATGGGCCCGAATCCTGCGATGAAATGGATGAAAGATGATCAAAATGTCACATATGGACCGCGTATACGTAATATGAGCAGAGATTGTTTGGCATCGCTTGAATTTGTCAAGGCATTGCCAGAGGACTCTGGCCTATACACTCTTGTTGCACAAAATGAGTTCTGCAAGATATCTACATCGGCCAAGCTGTTGGTCTATTCCACAAATGTCAGTGCGGAAGTGGAGCCCGTATTTACAAGACCTCTTCGAGGTAAGCAATCACTCCCTGTATATACAATTAAATATGATATTTTATTTTTAGTTACGCGATTGTGTAACATAGTATGACCTAACAAAATAAAATCTTATGCAATGTGCTATACTTTATTAATTAAATTAACATATCTCTAGATACATATCATTTGAATACCAATGAGCTCATTTTGGAGACAGGTGTACGTGGGCAACCGGCGCCTAAAGTTCAATGGTTTAAGGACAGTGTTGAAATCGAAAAAAGCGAAAGATTTCATATCTTTAACCATTCGGATGGCACTTGTGAATTGGTTATTGACTATCCCTCGAATAAGGACTCTGGAAAATATACAGTAAAAGCTGAGAGTAGCGCTGGAAAGGCTGAAATCACACATTTAGTGACGTTCGCCGGGAAAGATCATCACATCGCTGATAATATACATGGTGTATTCCATGCTGATAAGAATTTATTGAAAGCAAAACTGGCGGAGCTGGAGTTACCGAAGGAGCAAAAGCATCCAGAAGTAAGCGAATCCGAAGGAGAGGAAGGTAAAGGTAAAGGTAAAAGCAAGGGTAAAGCCCGAGCTAAGAAAGACGAAGAGGAGGAAGTGGCTCTCCCCACTGCAGATACCCCAACGTCCGATACGCTAAAAAAACGGGAGAAGGTTATCGGTATTCATTTCCCGACGACTGTGAAAGATCGTGTAGTGGCAGAAGGTTCAAAAGTTAAAATATCTTGCTTCTTGGCAGCTAAAGAACCTCAAGTCAAATGGTTCAAGAATGAGGAGCAAATACAAAACAGTGCTAAAATCCGAGGTCGCTACGTAGAAGGCTTGTGTACTTTAGAGATAACGAGCGCCACCGAAGAGGATAGCGGCGAATATAAATGTTGGGCACGTGATGAGACTGGAGAGGCTTCAACCTTCTGCCGCCTCAAGGTATATGCTGACCCTGGTAGCGCCGATGTTCCGCCAACGTTTACGCGGAACATTAAGGAGACGTATCACCCGAAAATAAACGAATTACAATTAGAGTGCCACGTCCGTGGTTCTCCGACTGCTACTGTCACCTGGGTGAAAGACGGCGTTAAAATCGAACAAAGCGATAAATATCAACAGATCGACCACAATGATGGAAAATGCGAATTAGTTGTATCGGAGCCTGTCCAAGCAGATAGCGGCAAGTACGTATGTCAAGCAGAAAATCGAGCTGGTAAAGCAGAAATCACACACAAAGTGACTGTAGAAGCAAGACGTGTGAGGGCGCCGTCACCACGGAAAGAAGGAGTAGTTGGGTACAAGTCGTCCGCTGAAGAAACTGACGAGGAAGAGAAAGAGAAGAAAAAAGCTAAAAAGAAGAAAGATGACGAAGAGGAGGGAGGTGGACGAAGGCGTGAGGTACTACCACCTCCTGATATGAAGAAACGTGTATATTTAAGAAACTTCCTATCCAATCGCACTGTTAAAGAAGGCAGTAATGTTAAATGGGTGGTGAATATTGATGGCCCGGAACCAACCGCCCGTTGGTTCCACGGCGAAAATCCCATCGCTTTCGGACCGAAGAGCAAAATGAATCTGCAAGATGGAATTGCTTGGCTGCAGTTAGTTAAGGTAACTGAAGAAGACAGTGGCGAATATTTGGTTAAAGTAAAAGGTCCTGAAAATGAAGTTGTCAGCACGTGCAACTTGTTCGTTTATAGTACTGGTAAAGAAGAATTAGTTGCACCCGTATTCACGGTGGGCATTAAAGGTAAGTGCAATCTTTCAACTTGTCATGTGTTCTTTTGGCCTGTCTTCTATATGTTACGGTATGTATTGGTTCATTCATAATAATATTAAGATATGACCATCAAAAACTTCATTCATAGGATTACATATGTGTTATTTCAATGTCCACGTGTACGTTTCCCCATGTTTGAATTACAGATGTCTTTAATAGTGATCAGCATCTATTAACAATTGAATGCAAGGTTACGGGAAGACCGAAACCAAAGATTTGTTGGCAAAAGGATAGTACTTTGCTTCTGCAAGATTCAAATAAGTATACATACGTTGAAATGGAAGATGACATGCAACAGTTGATGATCAGAAATCCTACAGATTCGGATACTGGCCTTTATACTTGCTATGCCGAAAGTGAAAGCGGTCAAATGAAGATAAGCAAATTTATAGATATTTCGGATTATAGATTGAAAGAGAAAACTTTGCCAAGCGCTAAAACCGAAAAATTACTAGCAACGAATGCGGAGCAAAGTCAGTCTAACATGAATCATATACTAGCACTGAAAGATCAAGCTAAAGATGCTCAATTTAAATTAAGACTTCAGACGCCTATGAAATCCATGAAAATAGCAGCTGGCTGCAAAGCTCAATTAATGTGCTCTATTAGTGGCTTCATAGAGGATGTCTATTGGTTACGCGATGAAGAGCGTATACTCAAAGACGGGCGTCATAAAATTTACAACATAAACAATAACTTAAGTTTAGAAATTTACGAGGCACGCACCGATGACTCTGGGCAGTATAAATGCATGATACGCAACTCACGCAATACGGTAGAGTGTCAATGTCAACTGCATGTTTATGACAGTACATCCGGTTTTTTGCCAGCGAGCTTTTCCCAACCGATGACGAGTAAGAGACTAATGTTCGAATTTCTAACTTTATTTTCAATCGTAATTATTTTTTAAAGTTCATTATGATGGAGAACGTGGTGAGTTGTATTTAGCGTGTCACGTGCATGGTCGTCAAAATGTAACATGGCTTCGCGATGATCATAGTATATTAAATAATCGTTATCGTATTGTTGAAGAAGCGGGAGGTGTATCGAAACTCATCATACGTAATCCTATACATACTGATTGTGGCAGTTTTTCGTGTTATGTTGAAACAAATGAAAGCATTGAATCTATTACTAAAGATGTTCGAATAAGCGAACTGAAATCTTTAATGTCTTCGAGTACTGAAATGGTGGAAAGCGGCTTAATGTCAGATTTTAAGCCGGCTAAAGAAATGATTACTGCGGCGTCTAAGAAATCGCTATTGAATCACCTAATAAAGTCGAAACGAAAACCATTGTTCAATACCTTGTTACATGATCGTAACGTAATAGAAGGTTCGAATTTGCGTTTAAGTTGCAATCTCTTATGCGATGATAATACTAAAGTTGAATGGCTCAAAGATATGAAACCGTTGTTATCTGAAGATAAACGTTTTCAGACATGCTTTACCGTTAAAGGCGAAGTAATATTGGAAATCTTTACAACGGAAGAAAGCGACAGTGGACAGTACGTTTGTCGAGCTACCAACGACTACGGAGAGATGAGTACACAGGCTTACATACGCATTTACAAACCGTATGTCGACGCCTTAAAACCTTCTGTGTTTGTACAATCAATCAGAGGTATTTGACTTAATAGAAACTATTTTATAACGAATTTTGTATAGGTTCTCCCTTACCATGATCATAACGTCAGTTGTTTTTGTATAGGTATAAGCTGTTTATTATTAATTCTTAAATCGCCCTATCAGCTTCATTGCTTTTAAAGCTCGTTATGAAAGCAATTTTTTAATATCGTTAGTTACTACAAATAGCTGTGAATTTCGCCTTTGGGAACAGTGACAAGAGATAAACCGACCTTCTGACGTACCGGTCTATGCAGAATCACTTTCGGAACGGACCAAAAATTCGGTGTTTCTTGTGATCAACCGAAAGGTCGTAATTTTTGAGATATTGCGACGAAATTTGTTACACTGACATGTCATGACCCATGGAGAAAAGCTATTGAAAACTGTTCGGATCGCAACACTTTTTGGACCACTTGCCATATAAGACATTATTTTGAAAAGTTGTTATATGAATAACTGTGTTAAGCGAGGTGGTACGATATGGTACGTTATTTGACGGTGGATCGTGGAGGTACGGTACGGTATTCGACTTATCGTGCGGACCGTGTGCCACTATATAGTGTTTTTTCCTTACCTATAATAATACATTTAGCAACGTCGCGGTTTACTAGAAAATGTAAACATTTTCCAAACATTTTTCAAACTCTTTAAAGATGTCATGACAAATTCTACGTTGATGGGAGTCATCCAACGTACTATTTTATTTGTTGTATTTTTAGCAATTTCATGTTATATTTCAGTTAATTTATCTACAAATTGTTCTGAGTCCAATGTTCATTTTTGTTATCTTTTGAATTTCAAAAATATTCTCAAAAAAAAAAAAATTATTTCTCATAAATGATTACATTGTTCCATCAGATAATTATTCTCTTAACGATAACGAATTAGTATTGGATTGTCGTGTACGTGGCAAACCCCGTCCAGAAATACAATGGATGAAGGGTACGGATTACATAATACCGGGTGAAAAATACACTCAAGTTAATGAAGACGATGGTTATACGAAAATAATTGTACACAATCCGACCGAAAAGGATTCGGGTTTATATGCCTGCGTGGCACGTAATGAAGCAGGTGAAAATAAGTTAACGCATCATGTGGAATTTGTTGGACGTGAACGTTTCACTTTGCAAAAAACGCATGGTTTCTTCCATCGCGACCCGAACAAACCGCATTTGGTATGTCCTTTGGGTGATCAAACAGTACACAAGGGTGGTACTATTGCTATTAGCGCGGAATTCATGCAAACACAATCACCTATCGATGTACAATGGCTTCTTAATCGTCAAGCATTATCTGGCCATCCAAATGTTAAGACCTTCCATGATCATGGGATTTATACACTTGCTATTATCGATGCCACGCCGGAATGTGAAGGCACTTACACGTGTAAAGCTCAAAATGCTTTCGGTCGTATAGAATCGCATGCTCATGTTGATATATCTCAAGGTGCCACCAAAGAGGAACGTCCACCCTTGTTCTTATCACGTCCAGAAAACGAAATGAAAATTGCTGTCGGCGATCCTTTCTCGATTTCCTTCCGCATTGCTGGAGACCCGAAACCCAAACGTAAATATTTGTCACTTTTTTTTTTAGATGAACTTACTCCTTACACTTTCACTTTCTCTTCAGTGTCTTTCTTGAAAGGTACCAAAGATATAACAAAGTCCGATCGAGTAAGCAAAGAAGTTTCAGATGACTATACAAGGTTTACTGTGCAAAAGTCACAGATTAGCGACTCCGGCACTTACTTTGTAGTGGCACGCAACGATAATGGCACCGATCGGCTATTTGTGACAATCGAAGTAAGTACAGAATGATCCATGTGTATACATACATATATGTAAATGTTTGATGTCTCAAAGTTTTGCCCCTCTCTATGGCTTTAGTGTTTGATATTCAAAACAAAAAGAAAAAAGATATTGATTTGCTTTCTCTTTACTTCTTTTTTACTTTGGCTTCTTTTTGCTGTATTTCTTTGCTTCTAGGTCAAAACACCGAAAAAGAAAGATTAAACTTTTTCTTTTTTAAATCAATTGCTTGCGAATGCTGTTCAACAAGAAATTTATAGTTTGCGAAATTTTCATTTAATTAATTCTTTTCTTAGTTGTAATAACTTAATATTATTTAATCATTTATATAACACAAACACTTATTTTTTCTTTATATGCACACTTATACACATATACATATATATGTACATATATGTATAATATACTTACGTAGGTGCGACCCAGAGCACGTTCCGAAACGCCAACATTACCACGTTGGGGTCAACCTCTTGAAAGTTTTCCCGATGTTTCCTATTTTAAAGGTAAGTGCTCCACATATACAAATATATGTTTGTAGATACATATATATAGGGTTTGCTACGTCAATATATGCATGTGAAATTGGTTGTAAAACATTATCGGATTGTGAACATGTGTAATCCACTTATTCTTAGTGTAATAAAAAGATACATTTTTTGTCAGATAAATGAACATTTTTTTTTTACTTTCCTTGACATTACAAAAAACAAAAGCAGTCATATGATTATATATATATCGCGGTTTCAATATGTAGGCTCAGTCTTGTGATACTCTAAGATATGCATATTTTTCAGTTGGCATATTTCGCCGTATCTTATCCCTTCTTTGCTTACGCCAAAGACAATCTAGACAGTGACGAGAATCACATGGTATTGAACACGTTTGAATTTTTTTTGCAAGGTTTTATTGAAAATGTTACATAAACATCGTATTGTACAAATCGCCTTTTGTCTATATTTAGTGCAAAAAATCAGTATGAAATCGTATTAGGATATTGAACCGAAATATTAAATAACTGTACTTTTTCAAACTAGTTATAGTTTATACCACTTGGGATACAAGATTATATTAATCTTGTGCGATTGTATGCAATACCCAGAAGGAGTTTTAATAGTCTCAACTTTTTGTCATACAGATCAAAGTCGCTTTCTAAAGCTTGTCCATCCGTGTGCCAGTCTGTGAGTACTGTCTTCTTGTTTTTAACTCTTATGATAGAGATCGAGCCAGAATTGCTGAATCGATTTAAGCTCGTCTTTCCATCTAGTTTTGAGATATTTTCTTCTATTACTACGATTTAAAATGGAGGATGGATGGACATAGAGCCTCGATGGGCGTAACAACAACTGTATCTTCTTCACAAATCGTTTAGCACAAACCTCATGTGATCTTCTATCACATGCGGTTTGAGATATAATTAGAGAAACAAAGTGCTTAAGACAAGAAACGGGAGATCTCTATATTTCCTTTTTTTTGGCTAATTAATTTCTTAGGCAGGGCAATATGCCGAAATCATTTTCTTTTTAAACATACGTTCTAATTTTCGTAGGAAAATTACTAACTGCCACACTTTTTTACGTAATTTATGTGCAAAAATTTCTTCCATCAAAGAAAGATCAGCAATTCTGTGCATCCTTCTTAAATTGCGTTGCTTTGTTTCAGTTAGGTTTAGAAACATTCTTGTGAATGATGAGCAGAAATCGTGTTAAAAAAATGTCAGAAAAGTGTTTCATCTGGAATTGAAAGTTGAACCTTTCGAGAAAAGCAGATGAAATTGGAAGCAACCAATGGTCACTGCATATAGATGTCAAGAACTTTTAGATGGCAAGTTTTTATATTTCTTTGCCGAACGTCATCTTACGATGATTGTAGTTTCAATGCTTTGTTGTTTCGTATGCACTTTGCAAATTTTATGTAAGCCGATGTCAATTTTTTCTCTAGTTGACTATCCTGGTTTAACAAGAGTTACTATATTTCAAAATACCTGAAATGTGTCCTTAAATTTCCCTTGTTCGTGTTGATCCCTGTGTAAAAGGTATTGCGTTTTTCGTTGCACTGTCCGGCGAATATCAGATTTTGTACAATGTATTTGTAGCTTTATTTTTGATGTATGAATTATTGAAAGAAAAATTTCATCATTTGTCATTGCAGCTAAAATTGGTATTTTATCGAAATCTTTTTCAAAAAAAAAAAAAAGAAAAAAAACTTGGATTATACTTATTACAACCTTCAAACCCTTCGGATCAGTTGATTTGTATTTCAATCAGTTGTATTTATTTATTTAATTTTTTATGCTTATTATTCAATCATGTATTATAAACTTAAATTTCACAACTAATTGTTAACTCTTTTTTTGCTTTTTTTTTTTTTTGATTAATGGATTATAACACTGCTGCTCTAATCCAGGTTTACATTTACATACACGACTCTTTAAAAGTAAATTAAAATAAAAAAAATGTTTCTCCGGGGATTGAATGCTTGTTTTATTTGTATAAATTATAAAAAGCGCAATATAGCAAGGGGGGGAAAAGGGGGGAAGAAAAGATCGTGTAGCTACAAATATAAATAAGTTGGACTCGCCCTGCATAATGTCTCTGGTATTTTGTTGTTTACTAATTTTTTTAGATCCGCCATCTGCCATATCCACCGAACCTTTGCTAATTGATTCGGGTCCTACTCATATCAGCTTATCTTGGGGTAAACCACCTTCAAATAACTCAGCTCCTGTTATAGCTTATCGAGTGGATACATGGGCTGCGGGTCACGATGGTGGTGCTATATGGAAAGAATTGGGCTTAACGCCGATCAACTCTTTTGATGCCTTTAATCTTAAGCCTAATGTTCAATATCATTTTCGTGTTACCCCAAAGAACCGGTATGGCTGGGGTCCAGCCGTCCAAACTTCGTCTCCGTTGCAAGTTGGCGGCGTTGAGTGTCTACCCGAATTTACAAAAATTTTACCCGGCCAAGTTAAAGCATTGTTGCATGGCCTTTTCACTTTGGAATGCGTAGTGCACGGTAGCCCGCGTCCTGACGTCATTTGGTATAAGGATGGTTTGCGTTTAGGACTACACGCTGATGTAGATCGTGTGAAAACTCGTAAATTGGGATCTAGCTGTTGTTTGATCATTAAGAATGTTTACGAGAGCGATAGTGGTCGCTACACTTGTGAAGCTACCAATATAAAAGGACGTGTAGCGACTTTTGCCCGTTTGCAAGTAGTCACGGATCCGAAATTATATGAAGCCGATCATCAGCTTAAAGAAATTGTCTACAATAGCAATAACATTGGCTCGGCAGGTGATACTCTGCCTATATTTACAATGCGTCTGAGAGATCGACGTGTTCAAGTTACATATCCAGTGCGTCTCACCTGCCAAGTGATGGGTTATCCTAAACCAGATATATCTTGGTTTAAAGACGATCGACCTCTTGTATCGACTAGACATTGTTTAATTACGGCCGACTATCAATTCTATACATTGGAATTGGCCAGCACATCGCTAAGTGACAGTGGTATTTACACTTGTACCGCTAAAAATGAATTGGGTTCTGTGTCTTGTCATTGCTCCTTAGTAGTAGACAAAGGCATACGCGCATACATTTCACCTGAATTTTGTATGCATCTCGATCCTACATATATATTTCAAGAAGGTCAAGAGATACGTTTAACAGCCAAAGTTGAAGCGTACCCTGCGGTTGGTGTAGCCTGGCACCGTAATGGAGTGAAATTAAGACCCAATCGACGCTTAAGAGTAGCATTGGATTGTAGTGGTTTTGTTGAGCTAACAATAACCGACGCTACAGTATCTGATGGTGGCATGTATAGTTGTTTAGCCTCGAATGCCGTCGGTAAAGCGGAAAGTCTTTGTCGCGTTTGCATAGAGCCAAAGGAAATGGATGATGTGACAAAGCGACAGCAAGTGAATTCCCAAAGTAATGTACCTGTCATAAGGACAAGTGATATGCCGTAAGTTATTGCAGTTGTGTATAAACTAATAACCTCTAAGGCGAAGAAGAACCTAAGAACTAATCTTTTTGCCTCTCAGCACCTCTATCTAGCTCTTTAGAAAAGACAAATTCTTCGTTAAGGGACTCCAGGTGCTTACACCCGCCATTTAGAAATAAATTATTTATTTATCATTGCTTCCAGACTATAATCTAGAATTTTCTATGTATTGAGGAAGTTTTTGTAAGCAAATTACTCCGGTTTTCACGAAATTTTCAAGCGGATTTCCTACAACTTTGTACGAACTTTCGATTAATTACTTTACGCAGTTCATTTCATTTTCCAATTGAGCTCTATGGTCATCATCTAAAGTTAAGGTGATGCAAAAGTATGTATCATGCAGAGGGACGGGTGGACGGATGGGCGAGTAGTATTACATTCTTTGAAAAAAATGTTGCTTTATAGAGTCCCTAGTCCATATTTCTAGGTATTGTAAAGGAAGGGAAGTATTTGAAGGGATTTCTTCATTCATGATGTGATGATAAAATGTAAAAAGAAAAACATTTTTTTATTTTTTTCATCTCGCTCATTCCAGCTACTCGGAGGAACCATTGTTTGTTGTTAAGCCACGGTCGAGTGAAGCTTATGAAGGCGATACGGTTATTATATGCTGCGAAGTGGTTGGTGATCCAAAGCCAGAAGTCGTATGGCTTAGGGATTTCTTAAAAGTGAGTACAAGCACGTGACCTAAAAGAATCTAAGCGAGCTTTGGCTAAAAAATTAATAAAAATTTGATGTTAAAAGTATTCCGAATATTAAGCATCGAGATTGTTCGATATGTAAATAAGAAAAACTTGTTGCTGTTTTCATAAATAGTTTTCCGATCATTAACATCTTTTATTGGAAAAGTGCCTCTATAGATAGAAGTAGTAATTACGAGTACATTGCACCTGGCATATCAATTCGTTTATTACTTGAAAAAACCGATCTGTTATATAACGTCTTTCAACAAGAGATGTTTTCCTAAACATTCTTTAATTGTGTGCTATATATGCATCAACAAACAAATTATTCTAAACTATTCATTTTTCTGCATAAGTAAACAAACAAATCTCTCGCATCAAGGGCACCAAATATCTAAGAGAAGCTTCTGCACCATGTCTCCAAACACAATTGGTAACAATTAAATACGTCTGCACCTATAATCTGTAACCATACAGCCTTTATGAATATAGACACGAAAAAGCAAAACATTTGCTTGAAGGTTTGAAGACTTATGAGTAGACGTTACGTGATCATATTGTTCGATTTCGTTATCAAAATTAAATCATAATACTTATTAAAATTATTGCACTTGGTACGAAAAAGCTTTTGTAACTTCTAATTGAATCTACATACCTTAACTTTAACTATCTAAAGTTGACGAATTACGTGACGAGAAACGTTAACGTTTATGAAGATTAGAAATGTTCAGTTGGAGCTCGCCTGTATTCCAGGCGATCCTTAAATTATTTTTATTTTATAATATATAAATACCGACACGGAATTTGGGACAATGTAAGTATCTGTAACGTTATAATTTACTCCTTATTGAATAAGATTAATTACTTAAAGCTAATCTTGAGACAACTGGAATTATCTCCACTGTTATTGTGGTCTTCCGTTTATTACCCACACAAACCTAGGAAAAATTTTATAAATCCAATAATAGTTCAATTTTTATTTACGTCGATTACCACTTGTTGTCTCTCACATATGTAGCATTCGTAGGTAGATGGGACTTACTTTACCTAAACGGTTTTCTTTCAGATTTTACTTATTGACTCACAGGATATTGACTTCATTTATTAGACTGATCAAAAGACGGGTATTGTTTTACAGGTTATTTATATGCGTCTTCTTTACTCCATCTCACGTTTTACCACGGCACCAATTATAATGGATGTCAGCGGATTCACAATCAATGTTCGACACGGACTATACGTCTTACCGCCTATACGGGTTGGGATCACGTTGGGAGACCATGCGACTTATAGCATCTTGGGACAATCGCGGAAATTCTAGGAAAAGAAAAGATAAACACAACGGTACAATATCTGCATACATAAAAAGTTTAGCGTATTGAATGAAAAGGGAAGATCAATAAGATACACCACCAAAAAAAAGAAAACAGGTCTTAAATGGTCTCCATGAGCGACTTTTGGGAAGACGGACAGTTGTGATTCGAGAGATATTTCCCATACTGAATGTTCTCCACTCAATCAAATATAGTGGAAATCCAAGACGATCAAGAGTGTGTAACAATGAATTATGATTTATTTTCTTAAAGGCCTAATTAAAATCTCTATATATCGATGTGGACGAATTGACTTGGTTTGGAAGGCCATTCGATTTGAACGAGAGCGAAAAAATAAATCCAAAAATCCTTGAACTTCACAATTAAAGGCTCGGAAACCGTGCTTGATCAGTTTGTCTCCATATTAGATGACACTGCTGCCGACTTTTTTGCAATTTTCTCTGAACGTATGATTTATTATTTATTATACTCTCTCCCTGTCTCTCTGGGAAATGCAAGAACCGAGAGTTCAACAAATTTCGTTCACTTCATTGAAAATTTCAAAAAATCTTAGGATTTCTTATGGGAACCGGAATTTTCAAAGCAATGAATTTTAAACAAATGACGCAAAAGTCGACATATAAATTCGAAATATCAAACCAAAGATTGCCATGTAGATATTAAGTTGCAAGCTTTATATTTTACTCGACTATAGTGAACTGCAAATAATGGTCTTAACAAAAGGATTAATCCAAATGTCAATGTTTATGAAGGCGAATGGAATTGATAATAGCAATGTAATAGTGCTTGCGGGTATATTGATCAGCAGCAACTATTGGCGAAAGCGGCAAAATAATGCGAAGTACGCAAAATTTAAATTCGGTGATTTTAAATCTTCTCTACATGAAATAGTAGTGTCCCCCTTAAGTATCATTGAGATATTCAGCGTGTACAAACGCTAATCATGGAGTGCTAAAAATTGCCTTTCCGCTCTTCACTACTTCTTCTGTTTGCTTTGAAGAATTCTGCTGCCGAAGCAAATCCAACACATTTAGAAGTTCATAGTGGTGCTGCTCCATCATATCCATATCAAGGGCAAAGAACAGTCTGAGCGACCAAAAAAACTCGAATAGGATGAATTGCAAGACTTATTGGACGATAACTAAGCTCAAACTTTCAAAGAATAACACACTAAATGACTAAAAATGCTATTTCGAACCCTCTCTATATCGCGTTTTCATTGCCTGTCAGGCAGAAAAGAAGAATTTTGTGTATCTATTACGACAGAAAGTCATGACTTAGTGCAGGAGACCCATCCACATTCACAACAAAGGGAAATATTCATGCCCGTAAAGTTGTGCTATGCATATGGTGGAATCAGTGTACAGTGTATTACGGGCTGCTAAAGGCGAATGAAAATGTTACTGTAGACGTCTAACGACGTCAACTGAACGAATCGAAAGAGGTGTTGTTGCAAAAGACCAGCAACAGTGGTTAACAGACGCCAAGCCATCCTCTTGCATGTCAACGCTTGACCATACGGCACAAGAATTGTCAAGGATGCACGGATGCAACTCGAATGGGAAGTTGTGGCTCACGTAGTGCATTCATCAGACATAGCGCCTTCTGATTATCACTTGTTCACTGCCACGCGGTTCCAAAATGATGAGGAAGTGCGAAAATGGCTTGATTATTGGATCGCTATGTCGTTCTTTTGAAAAGTCATATCGCCATGTTGTTTGAACGATGGGAAAAAGTTGTAGAAAAGGACGGAAAATACCTTGATTAATATATATTGTACCAATTTTTCTTATTAAATATCTTTTTCAAGTAAAAAAATGACTAAAATGCGTGCACGTACCTAATGTTATCCAAATGCTGACATATCGAATGCTTAATACTTTTTAGATCACTTAATATATTTGGAGTTAATTACCTCTTATTTTCATTTTTTTTCTTTTAATTCGTATGTCTATATATATGTTTGTCTTCCGCAGACTGCTTTTTTGAAAGCTTTTGAAACAAGTTATTTATATTATTGTTGTTTATTGTTTGTACTTCTTTTTGTCTTGTCTAAGCATGCACATTTATATATGTGTGTGTGAAAATATAAATGAGATTACACATTTTGAAGTTGCTATAAAAAAAATACTGCACAGCTATATTTGATTTGACTCAATCCAATGCATTCGTCACAAGAACTAATAGACGATTTAGAACTAATCGTTATTAAGTAATAATTCGCCGTCATCTTCCGCTCCGTTTTCCTTTTGAAGTTCAGAACTAGCAAATACTGTACCCAATTGCTTTAGAGAATAAACGCATATTCGTTCTCCATCATTCAACAGGTCTTTATAAAAAAGCCTCATCGATGCGAGATTAATGTGTATATTCATTCGTACTCAATAATTTCCGTATACAAATTCTATATAATTGAGAAAATAAAAATTGTTTACAATTGAGAATGTTTGAATAAATTTCTTTACATGTATTGTGCCGCTTTAGAGAATAAACGCGTCACAATAGGCTAATTCTTTGTTGTTTTTAATGCTCCACGCTACACATGTGACGGATTAGCATTCACTTGAGGGACCTTCGCATTTCTTCGATTGGCGCACAATAAAATCAAATATTGAAATTTCTCCTTTGTTGGTACCAGGTGCTAATAATAAACCATTTTGAGAAAATTGGCAGTAAGTGTATTCACCTTTCACCTTGTCATCGTTTAATGAAAATAAATGCTCCCAATTAGCTGTGCTTATTGCTTTAATTTCATTTTTCTTTATGTACATCAAAATTTTGCCTTCGGTTGGCTCGAAGCAAGGCGAAGGTGTACCGAAACAAATTGCATTTTCGAAACTGTTAGTTTTACTTAACAGAATAAAGCTCCTTGCCTTCGTTCTCAATAAAATTTGCGTGCATTTGAGAATAAGCGTATAAAACTGAAAATGATTCTCAATAACAGGTATTTGTATAAAAATGCCATATTTAGGAAATATGATGCAAATCGAAATAATCGCAATTGGTTCGAGGTGATGGGTAATTGAATCGCAAAGAAAATTATAAATAAATGTGAAAGAAATTAACCGAAGTAGAATTCAGTAAAGTAAACACGAAGAGACTAGAGTTCTATCTTATCTATTACAGCAGCGATGGTGATGATCGGAAGGATCAGCTCAGTCCGCAGTAGCGTTTAATAGATATGATTAGCCAGTTTTAAGAAAATTCCAAAAAAGAAATAACGTATTTTTTAAAAGAAATAGATGAATAAAAAATAACTGTCACAAATTTAAAGAATTAGAAGGCACCATTTCTGTATTTTAATCTTGTTTTTCTTTTTGTTCGCTTTTTTTTTTTTTTAGTTTATTAAAATTTATAAATAATATTACTTGTTAAAAAAATTTCTTTTCTCTTACGGTACACATGCAATAACAGTAGACTTTATACACATCTTTAATTTTTATACTAATTACTGAAGCAGTAAATCTCAATAGAGCTCCATCCTTATTCAGATAGAGGCATTTCATTAAACAGGCGTCTTCCATCCCCATTAAGAAACATTTAGAACTCAAACCAAATGATAGCTGGATGAACACTCCCAATTGTCTCCATTAGAATGCTGGTACGCGTTCTTTGCTTGGCAAAATTTTATCCCTATGCACACATGGTAGA